GCAACATCCAAGTCTGCGAGATGCGAAGGAGATACTATCCCAGCAGCCTCAAACGTCGGAACGACACTTCCCAAACCGATACCATTTAGCCAAGTCGACACGAGACCCATCACTAGCAGTTGTTCTAATACAATCAAATTTCAAGTGGATTGGAATCCGGAGTGTTTGGAAGCGATCTCTAAAGGTTAATAATCACCTTTCGACGTGAAGGAAGTTGGAGTTTGTACTGCACGGAGCGATGCTATTGGAGCAAAAGGACAAAACGATAAAATCCGGATCACGGGACACAATGCTGCGATACCGTAACGATCGAAAACGTTTTGACAGTTTAATTACAGTACGTACGGTAGCGTAGAGTACCAGTTGCTCCGCTTGATACTTCTACTAGTCCTTTTTCTGTGTGCGAGCAGCGCCGGCAGGAAATTTAAATTTCTGAAGGAAAACAAACACGACAAGTACGAGTACCAGTACCGGTAGACTTACTCATACGGAGTATCGTATGTACGAGTGCCATAAATTATTATTGGGTGATTCCCGATATTATAGAAATGCTAAACTGCTTATTTAGCATTTCTATAATAAAGGGAATACAAATTTCAACGGACAGACCCACGAGCATGCCAACTCCATGCCAGTCTTTTTGGGAATTTGGAATCTTAATTATTCTCCAACGTAAAGACTTAAAAGACTGAAAACGCGCGCCATAATAATTTTGGTTCAAAGTAAAACATGAAATTTTCGATACTCAACAACTAGAGTAAGACATGAAGTCATTCCTACTTATTTCCAGTAGAAAATAAGTTGAAATGAGTTTATGCGTTACGGAAGTTTCTTTCGATAGCCTACATCAAGCCACTCAAGCTCTACTCATTTTGTACTTATTACGAGTAGTGCATGAGCGGCTTGATGTAGGGTTTATCATCGGACAACAAACACACTAAAAGACAACAGTTTCCTCCCAGCACAACGAAAGGCAACATCGACAATCATGGGTGTTGTGGAGATCATTACAATGTACTGGTACCTCCAGTTGCAGTCGGAGGAGGACCACAGTAGTTACAAAAGCAAACTGTCTTCTGAAGAGAGACGTCGTAGGGACAGGAGAACTCCGAGGATTGCAATCCGGAGATATGCTGATTCCGCTTTCATCTACATGTTCCACTCAGGGAATGACCAAGCTCTCCTCAACTGCTGTGGACTTGACCACAAGGTCTACAGGGAGCTTGTGGACCTTTTTGCTCCAGTATGGAACAAGTTTACTGTGAACGCCGACAACAAGATAGTGGAGGTTCCTTGTTACCCCAGTGGGAAGCCCAAGGGGAAGAAAAGGGAGGTCGATGCAGTCTGTGCCATTGGATTAGTGCTGTATTGGTACAGAACAAGAGGATCTGTTGCAAGGTCGATGGCAATGGCCTTTGGCTTAACATCCACAGTGATGTATAAGTGGCTCAAGTTTTCAAGGAGAGTGATGCTCTTTGTCCTTAACAAACACCCACAGGCCATGGTCAGTGTCCCAACTGAGCAAGAAGTGGATGATTATGTTAAGGCTATTGGAGAAAAGTATCCAAGGCTGGGAGAACAACGCGTTTGGGGTGCTGCTGATGGCCTGAAGAGCGTCATTGAACAGTCAGAGGACTGGTATAAACAGAAAGCCTTCTACAACGCTTGGAAGGAGAACACCTTTGTTAACAGTGTATTTGCCTTTGCCCCAGATGGAAGGATCAGGATTGCAGTTTACAACTGCCCGGGGGCTTGGCATGACAGTGCCATTGCAGACTTCGGAGTATACCAACGCATTCAGGCCATCCACGACACGTCTGGAGCAAAGGTTGTTGTAGACTCAGCCTTTGCATTGAAGCAGTACCAGGATTGCCTCATCAAGAGCTCACAGAGGGATCCTACCAACAGTGAGCTCCTCTTGTTGAACAGGGATGCCACGTCCTTGAGACAGATGTCGGAATGGGGGATGAGGATGATCCAGGGACAGTTYCCAAGGATTAAAGAACCAATGTTCTTGGAAGAGCTTGGAGAAAGGAGGATCATCATGAACCTCTTGATCAACTTGTACAATTACMAGTGTAGTTTCATAGGACACAACCAAATCCTATCGACCTTCATGAAGACTCCAGCAGCCACGACAGCTGATGATCGATACCAGAAGATTGCTCTTGCTGAGGGCTTCTTCTGCGTTGGTCGGAACATATCTCCTGATAACAGCAGGACGTTCTCCAGATGAATCCCATGGTCAATTCGGTGCTGCGTTGAGAGGAACAAGAATGAAGAAAAGAACAATGAAGAAAAGAACACTGGTGTTGAGTTGATAGTAATGAAAAGCACAGTGTTGCGTTGAAATGGATAAAACAACGAGATGTAATGGTTACGAATCCTATTCTCGTCGATACTCGCCTCGGTTCCGTTCCCCTTATCCCAACGCGTTCCCATCGTCTTTTCTACAGTTTCCTTAGTTTCGTTAGTCTCCTTAAGGTCAGTCTAATCATGTTACGATAAAGCATTCAAGTGTGTGTTAGTACTACAGTAATGCGACGTCGCTTCAGTTGCTGTTTTCCTGTAACTGTTGCTTCAGTTGCTGTTTTCCTGGAATTACAACTGTACTACATCGTACGGAAAGGCTGTAGAAACTAGGTTTTCATGTAACGAAAACGGGATTAGAAGCCTTCATTTTACACGTGTGCAATCCCACCAAAGTACCCAACGGCTGTCATTGATCGGCACTCACATGCATTGCACCATCTTAGACGAGTAATCAATAATTTTCATTACAGGATAGTAAATATAAAATGTAATCCCATATCGTTTTGCAACAGTATACATGAAAACCACAAATTGGTAGGAACTGGTGGGGCAAGTACTGCTATCTACAGCATCTCGAGGGACAAAGAACTAGCATACGCTACTGTTGAACCAGCTCGCTACTGTTGAACCAGCTCATTTAATGTAATCACTGCTAGTAATAATGTAATTTAGTTTAATCCATGGTTAAAGTATTCCTGTTTCCTCATCCTGACCATGGGATTCACCGGATTCCTGGCGTTGTCGTTTGCGTGGGGGASCGTTGGGTTSTGGCRTRGAGTATGTATCAGCTGTCGTTGAACCCGTCGACACAGGAGCTGTTGGAGGCCGACCATGGTAAGAATGGTGTTGAGGAGGAGGACCATGGTAATAGTAACTTTGTTGTTGTTGTTGCTGCTGTTGCCATGTATTCATCATGGTAACAGCTGCTCCAAGGAATTTCTCTGCTACATCCTTTACACCACTCCACATCTCAATGCTGCGTTGGTCTCTTCTTTCCTCTCTTTTGTCGTGACTCACAATGAATTGAGTGAAGGCTTCAGCATCAGGGACACTTGATTTCTTCTGCTGGTAGGCCCTCTTCTGGGGGGCAACAGGGGTTGTTTTTAGAACAACTGAAGGGGTCAAGACAGAAGATGGAGCTACACCGGCAGGCGTCTCGTCTCTGGCAACGGGCTTCTCCGTACTAGCGTCCGGTGCGTTGGGCTTCTCCTCCGTATCCCCTTCATCACCTTCCTCTCCAGCAAGAACAATCGTTGGTTGTGGTTCTTCCACTTCAGCAAGAATATCAGCAGTGTTGGTCTCTAAACCCTCCACAGCCTCACTTTTAACATAGCCTTCCACCAGATCAAAGTCCTCCTCTCCAGTACCAAGATTTGCCCGTCGACCAATCAAGATGTGGGCTTCGCGTGCCATCCTCACGTAAGCCGGCATGTTTGGGTTTCCAGTGGAACTCTTGATCCTCTTTATGGCTGCATACTTAGTCCTGATGGATGTCCTAGTCCTGTAGAAGGGCCAGGCTTTTGCGTGGTCAGCAACTATGCCATCCCACTCATCATTACTAATGGGAACCCTGTCAAGTATCATGCCAATGAGACTGTCCAGCTCATCGTGAGTGTAGTTTGCTACTCCGGCCTTACGACCTCCACTGTTGCCTGGCATCTTTGGTACAAAGATAGTGTGGGGGATGGGACAATTGGGCTCGACGTTGAGACAATGAGCTCCCTCCTCCTCTTCTTTATTGTCCTCACTATTAGTGCACCGGAAGTCAACGCTGCCGGTCTCTTCTTTCCCTCTTTGCTGCAACAAAGAAAGAAAATAGATTGCACTGACTAACAGCACCGATCGAGACATACTTTATGTCCCTTAATACTGTCCCTTGGCGCCATTCTTAACAATAATACAGGCGCCTCCAGTGTCTTCCTTAGCCATGGTCGTGGTGCATGCTCGTATAATTTTGTCGACTTCTGTCTTAAGATTCTGGCGGGCTTTCTGTTGAGTCTTTCAGAATCTTTCAACGGACTCGAAATTTTGAATCATGAGTTCCATCATAAATTTTATTACTTTTGATAAGGGTCAACGGAGCTCATCAAACATAATAAATTTTTGTTATAAATGTGCTAAATTTCGGTCTGTCAGTCTATCAAAAAGTAGCACATCTATAATATCGGGAATCACCCATTATGCAGAACGAGACTGTTCCAGAACACAAGAGTAATCGTTAATCGTAGCAGAGACTACGTACATACCATTGGTCAATATGATACCATAGTATGACATGTAATATGACTTGTTCGAGCCTCTAACGAGTGCTATGATACAATAGTACGTACCGTTGCACCGTACGTACTCCGTAATTGAAATTAAAAATTACTACTACTAGTAATCAGACAGAAGCTAAATTGTTACATAAGTACTTCTTCTACTTTTTGAATCATTCCTTTTTCTATAGCCTGGATTCCCCGAGGAAAAGCCTGTTGGCTTCATCGTCTTCGTAAAAACTGTCGTCCTCTTCGTCGCCATCATCGGGATCGTTTTCCTCGTTCCAGAGAGCCAGCAAATCGTCGTCGGAATAAACACTCTTGACTTCGTCCTCAAACGGATTAACACCATCGAACCAGTGCTGTTTCGCCTTGACCTCCGCCGATATTCCGCGTTCGCGGATGGCACCAAGCAACTGGGTCCAATCGTCCTTGGTCGGAATCTTGGCTTGCTTTCCGCTCCACCGAAAGCCGGGGAGAGACTGCAACGCCTCGATCCGCTCGCGTGTCAAACGATGGCCCTTTGTGTTTGATTTGTAAAAATAGCGCTGTTCGTTTAACCACTGTCTCAGATCTTCGTTGACAAAATCGGTGACGTCGATGATGAGATGTCCGTGAATCTTTTCGTAATCCCTCAACCTTCCGAACATGGTCCACCAGTGCTTTTCCCGATAACGCCACACGAAATCGAGCTGCTCTAGCTGCTGGATTCGATCCTCGCTCAGGGTGGTGTAAATGCCGATTTCGTTCATCCTATAGAAGGTCCTTTGGTTCATAACCCACCGGCCAAGCTGGGGGTTCTCGTCATATTCTTGAGGAACCTCGGCGTGGCCGTGTTTTTCGCGATATACCTTKAGTTGTTGGACCATATCGTTCCAGCGTTCCTCGTGGGTTTTCTTTATCTTTGGTCTAGTTTTGGCCCAGACAAAACCAATTTTCTCCAGCGACTCAATGCGATCTACTGTCATCGTGGTCGAAAGGCCCTTGCGCCATCGCACGTACTGTCGCCGTTGATCTCGAATAAAATACTCCAGTTCATAGTTCGAATCCGGGTTGACCCGGTCATCTCGATTGCTATTGTGGTAGCCGACAAGCTGTTTGTACATTTTCTTCCAGTATCCTTTTCGCCATTTTCCGTCCTGGGGGGGGAATCCAAGCAAGTCCCATAGTTTTGGATATCCTTGCTGCCGAACAAATTTTCGTGTCCACTCATTGAGATCAGTGTCCTCGTTCTGGGTCACTGCCACGCGTCCAAAACGTTCCTGGTGWGATTGGAGCCTAGGCAGCATTTCTTGCATTAGAAATCGTCTCTTGTCTTTGGGTTTTAACAGCGTTACGCCGAGCTGTTGCAAAGCCTGAAGCTTGTCTTCAGGAAGCTGGTAACGTCGTTCCAGAGATTTAATCCACAGGTAAAGGTCCTCGTTGTTCTCGGCTGTTATATTGCAATGACCATGCCTATCGTGAAATTTTTGCAGCTTGGGATAGTATTCGGTCCACAGCCGGGAGGGTTGTCGGGTCTTGGACTGTAACGCTTTTTTAGGAGCACGAGATTCGGTATACCAAGAAAAGTTGAGGTCTTGCAACGCCTGGAATCTTTCTTCCGGGAGCCACCAATTCGTCTTGGCTGTTTCGGACGAAGTTCCAAGGTATTGATGGCGATAGTTCTTTCGCAGGGACGAGACGTATTGAAACAGATCCGGGTCGTCTTCTGGTGTCACGTTCGCATGGCCGTGCTTCTCGTGGAAGCTTTGCAACCGTGGGAAGTATTCTTCCCACGTTCGGCCCCCCGGTCGGACCGTGCGCGGAGGMGCACATTTTTTCCAAGAAAAGTCAATCTCCTTGAGTGCTTGCACCTTGTCCGCAGGGAGTATCCGCTTCGATTTTGCGGACTGATGTAACGCGGACTCCGGCACGTAATTGTTTCGCAGCGAGGTTATGTACTGGTGGAGATCTTTGTCTTCCTCTTTTGTTACGTTGGAATGGCCGTGTTTTGCGTAAAACTCCTGCAATCGGGGATAATAATACTCCCAGGTCCTCTTTTTGTTTGGAACATACCACACAAAATCGATGTTTTCCAGGCACCGGATTTTCTCTTCTGCGAGCTGCTGGGTTTTTGAATTCGACTTTCCAGCAGATTCTCTGCTATCGAGAACTTGTCGACGATAGTTGTTTCTAAGAGACGAGACAAATTTGAAGAGATCGGGGTCGTCTTCGGCTTTCACGTCGCTGTGTCCATGTTTCGAATAAAAGTTTTCCAACAAGGGGTAGTAGTTGTCCCACGTCCTTCTCTTTTTCACTTGTATGCCATGGCCTTTCTTTTTCGTCGCTGTCATAGTTGCTGATGATGGTTCCGATCCATTGTTGACCCTAGATMCGATCTTTGTCGACTTCAACATGCCGAGAGAATCTCGCAAAGAAGCAAATCGATACACCTTTCGCACAASWAAGTCCTTCGTTTTGAACTGAGGAAGGGGTCGTTGCGAAGGTAGAAGAAACCCATGGACCCAGAAWAGGGAGGCAGCTATCACCAGAAGTCGATACCGGCAGGGCATTCTGTACAGTTGGTGAAACCTCCTCATAGTTTATGTTTGCTCGTGATTGGTTCTGATGTTTAGTGTGTAGTATCGTGACTTTACGCTCGGTTTTCCATATCTAACAACCCAACAGGCCCTTCAAGTAGAAGCAGGAGATGATTGTCGTTGATACCGTTGTGTTTGTGGTTGTGGCTTTGTATGTTTCTTTGATTGTGCGGTATAAATATTAAAAGTCCTGTATGGTAGCATGGCAAACCCTTTGGAACTAGTGTATTTACGAGAGGTCCAATAGGTCAGAACATGATGATGATGATGATGATGATGAAGATGATGATGGGTTTTCTTCACTCCTCGTTAAAATTGATTCGTTGAAAAAGGCAACTGTTCTACAGGTACTGTAACTGTTCTCTGCAATCCAAAACTGTCCATATTGGGTATACGGCCAGACCGACAAAATGAAAATCCAAAAATTGGATTTTATGCAAAATTTCCCATAGCACCATTAAGATGCGCGCCACTCAAAAAAGTTTGGCGCCCTCAGTATTACGGTACTTGTACCGGTACCTGTGTGTAGCCTCTAAAAAAAAGGTGCTGTCCACGATGCAGGACGGTAGTACAATGCATTGGACTTCGCACACCTGCTATTATCATCTTCCATCATCGCAATCGTACGGCACAACTACTAGTACTKGTACCCATATGCAAGGTTGTCGAAAAAAGCCAATAACGATCCCCACAGACAAGCGACCCGAAGTGTTCATCCTCCTCGTTGCATTCCATCCACAGCCTTTCTCTCCTCATTCCGCCTCTATCTGTTGAGGAAWAGACGTAACGCAACGCAACAACAACAACCATGGCATCTTCGGAAGGCGGAACCTCGTTGTGGAAACACATCGGCCTCCACGGCCATTCCGTGGGAACCTTCGCGTGTACGGACGCCGGTATCCAGTGGAAATCGTCTCTGTACGGACGGGAGGATACCGGTGGCCTATCTGCTTCGACCCGAAACGTTCCGAAGGACAGCATCGAGAAGGCGGGGTGGTCCGTCTTTGGCAAGAGCGGGCACCTGCGCCTGAACATGGAGCCAAAGGAGGGCAGCAGCAACACCCAGCACGAGATGCGCTTCGATGGGTTTCCGGTTTCTGCCTACGAAACCATGAAGGACATCTTCCAGGCAAGCTACGGAATAGAGCTTTTGAAGCTCAATATGAGCTCGGCTGGGACGCAATACGGACGATCCAAAATAAGCGGGAAGAAACTGGTGTTTCGGCATTGTGTTCTAGAGGACGCGGACGAAGAGGGCGAAGTAAGTTTTGCCTTTGATATTGTGTTCCGTCTGTGCCAGTTGACTTTCAATGTTTTTCCCGCTGTTAGTGTTTTGTATCGTATCGTATCGTATCGTATCGTACCGTACCGTATCGTATCTTGTTGCATCGCATCGGTTTGATTTTTTGGCATCCACATCAGAGGAACGCAACTCACCCTGATGCTATTTTTTTGGCGTTACATCCAACAAGGAATTCGAGGTTCGAGACGGGGACGAAATGATGTCGCTTGACCTGACGGAGGTATCACAGTGCGTCCTGCCGGGGAATAACCGAAACGAGGTAGAGCTTCAATTCCCCGAGTCGGATGCCGTCGAAGCGAACAACGATCAGTTAGTGAGCGTGCGGTTCTTCATTCCACCCGATCCAGAAGTAGACCCCTCGGACAAAACAATCAAATCTTCCGCCGAGCTACTTCAGCAGAGGATTATGCAAATGGCTAATATTCGGAAGACAACCGGAGACGTCATTGGTACGTATTCAAGATTGTGTACTGTATGAGTTCCACGAAACTATTTCTGCTAAGAGTTGGCGGTGTTCAATGTTCTACCCTCACACGATTGATCTTTGATCCYCGTCTATATTGTCCCGTTGTTCAACGAATCTTCAGTCGAATTCGATTTGGAAAAGGGAAGCTTTCTTACTCCACGAGGACGATACTCTATTGAATTATGTATGTATCACAAAACACCACGGAACTTCTTGCGAGCTCAGTCTGTTGAAGCAATCTATATGCTTTATACAACATGTTTTGAAAAATTTATCATRRTGTCGATGTCTTATTCTTCTTTTAATTCGATGCGATTCTATTCTTATTCCTTCTCTCATTCACGAACAGACGAACGATTCTTTCGAATGCGTGGACAAAAGTACGATTACAAGATCAAATACGACGACATATCGAGATTATTTTTGCTCCCTAAGCCCGACGACGTCCACATGGCATTCGTTATTGCGTTGGACAAACCGATTCGCCAGGGTCAGCAGCGCTACCAGTATTTGGTCCTTCAAACCAACAAGGATCCGGACGAAGTAAGAGTCAATCTCGACGAAGACACTCTCAAGAAAGAATACGGGGATGACTTACAGCCCATCATGAGAGGTTCTCTTTCTAACCTTGTGGCCAAGACTTTCAAGATCATTGCGAAGAAAAAGGTCTTTATTCCTGGAAAGTTTTCAAACGCCAACCAGCAACCATGCGTCAAATGCGCTCTGCGAGCCAACGAAGGATTGCTCTACCCATTGGAAAAGCAATTTGTTTTTATCCACAAGCCACCCGTTTTAATCCGTTTCAACGAGGTCGAAAGCGTGGAGTTCCAGCGCTACGCTGGCGGCCAAGGCTCCACACGGAACTTTGATTTGTGCGTCAGTTTGAAGCCCAATGCGCCCAGCGCAGGCAACCAACAGGAATACGTTTTCTCCGGGGTAGATCGATCAGACTACGCCGGGCTATACAACTTTTTGTCAACCAAAAAGATWCGCATCAAGAACCTCCAAGAAATCGGCGGTGTACAGGAACAAGCAGTGCCCGTGTACAACGAGGACGAGATATATGGTGGGCCGGACCACGAAATGGAAGAAGAATCTGAAGACGAAGACTACGACGAAGCGGCCGCCGCCGAAGACGCAGCAAACGATAGCGACAGTGATATGGATAGCGAAGATGACGATGACTTTGGTTCTGAAATCGACGACGACCTCGATTCGGACTTGGAAGAAGCCCGAGGTGGAAGCGGATCAAAATCGAAACGTAAGAGCAACGACGACGACCTCATAGAGGATGATTTGCCAAAGAAGAAAAAGGGGAAAAAGAAAGTTGTCGAAACCAAGCCGGTATCGAAGAAATTAAAGAAGGATCCAAACAAACCCAAACAAGTGACGACCGCATTTATGATTTTTAGCAATACCAACCGAGAACGGTTCAGAACTGAAAATCCAGACTTGAACTTCGGAGATTTGGCGAAATTAATTGGGAAAAAATACAAAGAGTTGAGTAAGGAGGAGCTCGCCGAGCTAGAGAAAAAGGTAAGTTGTCGGTTTGCATTTAGTATCTTTTTAGAGCTGTTGATGTGTTTTTTGTTGTTACTAAACTGTTTGACCCGGAACATGACAACTCTTGTGAATTTCAGGTTGAAAAGGACAAGCTGCGGTACGAACGTGAAATGAAAAACTACACGCCATCCGAAGAATTGGAAGACAGCGAACCGAAGGGGAAACGGAAAGTAACGAAGAAGAAAAAAGACCCAAACGCTCCGAAGCGAGCGACAAGCGCCTTCTTTTTTTATTCGACAAAGATGCGCCCCATTATAAAGGAGGAGGAACCCGACATCAAGTTTACCGACATGGGGAAACGAATCGGTGAAAAGTGGCGGGAACTGTCTTCCGAAGACAAGAAGGAATTCGAGGCTATGGCCGAGTTGGATAAAGAACGGTACAAGAAAGAGATGGCAAAGTATGAAGCGAAAAAACAGGAGGAGGAAGACGGAATGGACGAAGATCAAGACGATAGCGACGATGACAGCGATTAGACAATTCCCTGATGCTGATGCAAACTGAACACAGTTTGTGGGACAAGCAGACGTTTTTGAATGAATGATGCGGCAAAAAAWAAAATAAAAAAAATAAATGATTTATTTTCTCTTCATCACTCAAAGAGGCAACAGTACGTGRGCCAGAGGACTGCCTATTCTTTCAACAAGATGAACGTCGTTCCTTTGTTTCCTCGCGAAATTCTSACTTTCTCCGAAAGATATGTGATATCGATCCACCCCTTGACAGCATCTCGAAGAATCGGTAGACGGAAAGGAACCGGATAGGGTATAGATAAATCAGGACCAAATTCGAATCTTCCTTCGTCGAAGACAAAATCTATGCGGGAGTCAGGTCGGTTTTCGTCTTCCTGGGCTTCCTCCCCAACAAGGGAAACGCCTAGAATATTCAACCCCAATAATTTTCCATCCCCCTTTCTTTCCGTGAGTTCCTTTAAAGGATAGGCTGAGGTAGAAGCGAGAGCATCGACCTTGAGCTCGTTCGTTTCGCTAAACTTCACCACCTGGCTGACGATCAGCTGTCCGGCGTCGTTGAGAACAATGTCCTGATAGATCGGAAAGGCACCCGAACTCACTGCCTTCCTCTGGATTGGACTAGCCGTATTTGCGTTGTCCGTATGCATCAACCTCCATCTTCCATACACCGAAGGGCTAATGGCGGGTTGCGGAATGCTGGGTGTCTTTTCGAGTTCGGYCACGAGTTCTTGGATGCTTTTGTTGGAAGACAAACGGTTTTCGTCTCCAAGCTCRCTTATTGTTCGGAGCAACTCATTCTCCAGGTTTTCGGCCGATRGTGTAGAGCCACGATTATTAGCGTTCCCGAGCCCACCGAGACCCTTCGGGATCAGATTCTGTAATCCTTCCACAACCAAAGCCTCTCCAACAATCAACAGAGCAAGTAACAGAAAAACAAGAACACTCCTCGTTGGAGATGGGACTGATTTCTGACCAAACATGATGGTACGACGAGTAGTCTTTGAAGCTTGAAATTCAAACGGCTGCTGTGATTTTTGCAGAGCAGTATGCAACTCTGTCGATATGAGCGAGGAAACAATCACAATGTTTCGGATTTGTTTTGGATTTGACTACMAGAAATGTTTGTTCGGTATTGTACGAGTAATCGTACGTGTTGTTCTGTAACAATTCGTCTTAGGTTTTCGGTACCGTACGGTACGCCACGGATTTGTCGACCGTTTTGCCACGGCAAAGCGTTCGAGTAAGTGCGAGAGTACCAAGTACCAATCGTTACGTACGGTACGTACCAAACCAAAGGGGGGGTGATACTCATAGCATCTTGTACGTACGAGTACGTACGTACCTGGTTGGCAGATGTGGTCGGATGATTTTTAGTCGAATGAATCAATTATATATTTATCATATGAACAGTGAACAGGTGCGAGCATGACGTCATACGGTACGAATCATGTGCATAATTCGTACAAGTAGTCTCTGTTGTTACAAGTAAGAGAATCGTACCAGTACGTACTAATTCGTACCCCCAAATACATTTTTTGTCCAACCCTGCTATGCTATCGTTACGCAAATACGAAGAATTACTACCGCACTTCATGTGATACGGTAGAGTCAGTCAGAAAAAACTCARTTTGTGACCGTGATTGCTGATTGCCGCTATTACGTGAATACCCCAAAATTCATGTCCGTGCTTCACACCGGTTCCACGTACTTGCTTGAAACAAGGAACAGAAAAAATAATGCTCCTAACTCACACGTTACGAAACCAATCACTTCCGTCTACCACACAACTATCGTTGGGTTTTCTTTGTGTGTTCCTCGGTTGATGTGCGTGAGCWCAAAAGCGTTGTCAATCAAGTTTTGAAAACGTGAGTCGGAACCGAATTATTCTACCATCGGATCTCACACTTGTAGCACTGTAGACATTCTACTTCCAAGTATTGTGTTGGTCAGGAGTRCAAAGACACAGAAGCATTGAGTCTTTCGTTTCTTATAGAAGGAAACTATTTTCTTTTTTCGAAAGCAGAGTTAACGGATAGCGTACTACACGTCGTCGAACGAAAATGAAATATGCTATCAGCAAATTGAGCTGTCTAGTMTGGGGGATTTGGGCAGCTGCATATGTGTCGGGTTTTGTTTCTAGATCGACACCGGTGACCCGTCCCTCATTGGGAGGGCTGCCATTCTCCGACCAGTGTTTATCGTAAGTTCCAATATGGTCCAAAACGAATTTCGATTGGAGCGTTTCTAATTGGTGGTCTTTTCTCCTTCTTCTTGTACTATCGTCATCTAACTTCGCAATTACACCCTTCGTAACACGACACGATTGCGGCGTTGCGTTTGTTGAAAATCTTGTTCTCTCGAAACAGTCGGTCCAATCTTGTAGTCCTGTCGACCGCTACTCCCAACGATACGAGAACTTCAAGAAATAATTCGTATAACAGAAATAGTAATGGGAGCAGCTTTGGCAGTGGAAGAGGTAGCTTCGGAAGAGGACGTGGAGATGGTCGCGGAAGAGGAGACGGTCGTGGACGAGGGCGTGGCAGAGGTCGTGGTGGAGGTCGTGGTGGAGGTCGTGGAGGAGGAGGAAGAACTCCTATGCTGAAACTCGAAAATCCGTTGAAAATTCAACGCGTGCAAGCGGAGCCCCCGCAGCGAGAGTACAATAATGACAGGCGAGAGGATGGTGGTAGAGGCCGAGGTGGCAGAGGCCGAGGTGGAAGAAGCGGAGGCAGAGGTTCTTCCCAATCTTCATCCGACGACGGTGGCAAAAAAGAAAGATCATCGTCGGGCAACAAATTTAGTGCCGGAAGTAAGTAGAAAACGACATCGTGCAATGCAAGGCTTAGGGGACTCGGCTTTCCCGATAGCTATTGCACATTGTTTCAAGGAGTACGATTTTATCGGTGCTTGTAATTGTTGAGGATGGCTTGGCACCATCGCAGATTTTCTTTCTTGGGATTTTGAGCAAGYATCATCTTAGATATTGTACACGACACTTTCTCAATTTGGGCCTTTCTTTTGCTTTCTGTTCATCCGTAGGTGGAAGCGATTCTGGTCCAAGTAGTGGAGGTGATTTCGGTAGAAATAACGATCGACGAAAGCGAAACACTGGTGCAAGAAGGGCACCTGCTGAAGGTCGCGGGGACGGAAAAAATAGAGGAAAGACTTCCCTACGACTTGGAACTTCTGGAAGACGTCAGAGAAGAACTTCGAGYCGCGGAAGTCTCAGGAAGAGGGATCGMACATCTGAGAGAGAAGCCAGGGCGGAAGCTGCGGAAATCCGCAACACAGTGTCTCTGCCAGAGTACGTACATTTTTCCGAAGAAATTATGTAATATTTTTCGCATTAATAATTGATGTCACCTTGCTTACCAATCGATTGATCATTTTTGCTGTGTCTCAGAGGTCCGATTTCAGTTCAAGCTCTTGCCGAAATTATCGATGAGAAACCGGTTGCAGTCATCAAGTTTCTCATGACTGATTGTGGTGTTATGGCATCCATGACACAAAATCTTGATCCATCGACATGCGTAGCTGTTGTTGAGGGATTCGGAAAGATTGTTGGAGGTGATGACGAAGACGAGGATGAGGAAGATGATGACTATGACGATGATAGTGCTTTGGCAATGGGTTTTGTGGTCGAAGATGAAGACGAAGCGTTGATGCAACCTAGACCTCCAGTTGTTACAATCATGGGRCACGTTGATCACGGAAAAACTTCCCTCCTAGATGCCATCCGAAACACTCGAGTCACTGCTGGCGAGGCGGGAGGTATCACACAACACATTGCCGCCTACCAAGTCGATCATGAGGGACAAAGCATCACGTTTATTGATACACCAGGTCACGCCGCTTTCACTGATATGCGAGAAAGAGGAGCTAATATCACAGATATTGTGATTTTGGTTGTTGCTGCGGATGACGGAGTAAAACAACAGACAGCGGACTCCATTGTATGCGCTAGACAGGCAGGTGTCCCTTTGATCGTAGCGATCAATAAAATTGATCTCGAGACTTCGGATCCGAACAGAGTTATGACCGAATTGACTGGTTACGATATTCTCACTGAGGAACTAGGAGGAGATGTGTTGTCATCGCAGATTAGTGCCAAAGAAAAAACCAACTTGAATGACCTTCTCGACAAGATCATGCTCCAGGCTGAAATTCAAGATTTCAAGGCAAATCCTGATCGGAATGCGGAAGCTTTCGTAGTAGAAGCCAACGTCGAGACTGGACTGGGAACTGTCGCGACATCTCTTGTGAAGAAGGGAACGCTTAAGGTCGGTGATATTTTTGCGGCTGGCGAGACTCACGGAAAGGTCCGGGCTCTTATTTCGACGAATGATGGAAAGACAAGACTGAAAGAAGTTGGTCCTTCCACTCCTGTCCGTATTGTTGGTTTTGAAGGCATTCCTTCCGCCGGTGATTCTCTTGTTGTTGTCGACGATGAACAAACAGCAAGAACATTGGCAGAGAGTCGCCAAAGGTATGTATCGTGCTAATTGTCATTTCGAAGTTTATCTCCCAATTATTTGGATTTACTAACAAATTGAACACCTCAAATCAAATTTATACCCACGCAGAATTGCCCGTGAGAAATCTTCGAATTCTTATCAGAATGCCTTGATGGACTCGGTTTCCCTTCAATTTGGAGCAACTAAGGAACAGCGTTTCATGTATGTTCTCGTAAAGGCTGACGTAAAGGGRTCTGCTGAAGCTCTCACACGTGCTCTTCAAGAACTCAAGCTAGAAAACGACGAAGCAGTTGTTACCGTAAAGGTGCTTGTGAGTGATGCCGGTGAGGTTTCTAAGAGCGATATTGCTATCGCCTCGGTAACACCAGGAACAACAGTTATCGCATTTAATGTTGCGGCCTCCATGGCTGCGATGGATGACGCGCGTATTCAAAATATTCCTTTGGAATATTATAGCATTGTTTATGATGCTATTGAATCTGTTGAGTCTAGAATGCAAGAAGTCCTCTCGCCTACACCAACAGGTGAGTTCACGGGAGCTGCGGAAGTCCAAGAGGTTTTCAAYATCGGTGGTACTGGTAATATTGCAGGAAGTCGCTGTACAGAGGGTATTTTGCGAAAGGGAGGCAATGTACGCGTTATGCGTGGTGACAAGATTCTCACAGAATCTACTATCAAGACATTGCGTAATTTCAAGGCTGAAACAGACACGATCGAAGCCGGAAACGAATGTGGAATTGGCCTTGCTGACTTCGAAGATTTCACGCCTGGAGACGTCATTGAATGCTACGTGGAATAATTGTATTTAACAAACCAAATTACGAAGTAAAATACTCCTCAACATCAAAATGTAAACTGAATTTTCCTTTYCAACAGCGACTCTACCGTTTAGTCCATGTTGAAGAACCTTTTTTTCTATTTTATTTCAGACTAGCTTCTTTCATTGTCATAAAACAACCAAGAATCCCAATACAAACACCGAATGGAACCAATGCTAGATTCATCTTCGCTCTTTTCGATGCAACGCTATCGTTTCCGTACCTCAAGGCCACGGCTTTCGTGTAAAGGAGAGGCGGGCATATGTATACCAAAGCCGATCCAAGAGCGGCACCGGTCAGACCAACCACTAGTGAAACATCCCGAACGGTGCAGGAGATAATTGTGACGAACGTCAAGATTCCGGCTACCAGGTTAAAATTGTTCTTTTCTGATCCCAAGCCTGCGTTGCCGAAGTTGGATGCCAATCCAATTATAGCTTCACGCGCCCCGAAAACAACTAGCGGAAAGCCAAAGAGAATCGAAAAACTGGTAGGAGAAAAGTTCAAATGACCATGAAGGAATGGTAAGCGGTGAGGTGAAAAAAATYTGCCACTGACGCAATTATACAAAGAAGCATATAAGAGCGGTATCACCCATCATATCTGCTTACCCGGTGGCAACTCTTCCAAAAGTAGAAAGCAGGTCGTCGGGATGGTAATTCAATAATATGTTGCCCTGACAAACATCACCAAAGGTGRCGTATCCGGCAATCATTGCCGTCGTGTACAAAAGAAATAGTGTCGTGTACGCAGAATTGGTCATGAAACGAAAMCTCTTTGAGTTTGTGTGTCTCAGACTTCTGTAATAATTGGGAGCGTTGTAGTGACCGATGTACGCAAGCCCGAAATTCGAAACTAGAACCAACGATGCAAAGCCAATTTTTAGCATCGACGACTTTTCGAATGATGGGCTCGTAATCAGTCCGTCTTGAAGAAATTTTCCGGCCGGAACGTTGTAGCTTCCATCGAGGGMTCTGAATACAATAAAACAGACAGTGTACAAAATGGCTGTAAAGCCAAGCATGCTTGTAAACGCAAGTTTCGATAGGTCTTTGATCAGGGAGAGTGGCAAGAGGAGGAAAGTTGTTATGGCAATGATGTTCGATGTTCTGAAGTTCCATGCATCTGGAAAGCCGACTTGTTTCAGCAGAGGTGTGAAGACGTCTCCAAGAATCCCGCTGTAAATCACCGAACTCGCAAGACACATTATGGCAATCATCGTATCTACCAGATATGCTGTGTTTTTGCCTATCGTTTTCTCCCACAGCCCCTTAAAATCGGATTGTCCCGTCATTTCACAAGCTTGACCRATGATGGAAAAACAATGAGCGCTGAGAGCCCCCAGGGCGGCAGATATCACAATTGCCGGGATCCCACCTGTGCCAATCGCAACACCATTTGATAGTGTCAAAATCCCAGCCCCAGCGACGTTGTTCACCAGATTGAAGACTGACGATGATATCGATGCCTTTTCCTTCTCGTTCGTTCGACCTCCTCCACGAACATCTAATCGTCTAGAGCCCGTTGAAACGAATGGATGTTCAGTGATTGTGTTCTTTTTGGAACGATGATGGATGCTATTTTTGGCGGGTACMGTGCGAGAGGCTTTCCTCCTGAATACTTCTGCACCATCCACCGAAACKACAAATATTGGAGCGAGCACTATACAGCGCTTSRAAAAGAATTTCATTTTGTGGCTTGATKTGGAGAGAAAGCTTTTTGTGTKGTTATTGCAGAGAATCCGGAATCTGATGAAGACACTCGATACTTGATACAGGATGTAGTTTAATGTTCTGAGTGCCGATCAAAAACTGCAAACAAGAACATACCGAAACAGATGAGTTTTTCGTTTTTCTGATTTGATTCGTTGATTCGAAAAACTCAAATTGGATCTCAAACTTCCGTTTGGACTTTCAACCTTCTTTTCAAAACCGAAAAATGTTGAGGAAGCCGGCTTTGTCATGCGTCATTTTTATTCCACGACGCAGTACGATTATGCCAGCAGTCGTGCTTGTAGTTCAATCACTTCTTGGTTATTGAGACACGCACAGTCAGTCCCGCCAGATCCATTTCCGCCAAAGATCACACACCATGATCATAATCAATTCATCAGAATGATGGTTACCGTACCGTACGTACGGTACACGGTATGTACGTTGATTGAAACGATGRTCGTGTGTCGATCGCGTGTGAGACGATGGGTGGGTGAAGTCGAATTCTACTTTGACATGCCATGAGGCAGGTAACCCATCACAAGTAATTCTTCATTCTCCTCCTCTGATGCTGCCCACAATAATCCAAGGTAGTACTCGTTRTATCAAAGAGTRGTGATTTCCAGAATATATGCACCGCAGTGAGGAAAGAAAGAAGAGTGGCGCTTAGATAAACCCMCCYACTTGAATAAAACGTTTTGAAGACAATGCATCGATGTATACTAGCTTCGGCATGTTATGCTTTTCTGGTCCATACGCTTCTGCTGGAATCTGCTGTTGAAGGTTTCGTCAATACAAACATAAATAGTCGGATCGTTGCCTTTTCCYCCCCAAATAAGTCATACTATTCCGCTCAATTTATCCCCCGAGTCATGAGTGTGAAACCGACATCTCAGGGCGATGAGACWATGTCGGTGGCTGGCCAGCCCTCCTATCAAATTGCAGGGCTCGATTTATCSTYGCTGTGGGTCGATTTGGTGCGACAAAACAAGGTATCGGCTTCGATGGCTATGYCTCCAAGGACAAACAGTGGGGAAGACGGAAGCGAGGGCCAAACGACAAACATCGAGGTCGAATACGGGATCCGTATGGTCGAGACSAGCAAGAGTGGCTCGGACCAAAGCACCGAACACGCCGGAACGGCATTCGAGGAATACGTSATGCAGAAGGGACTCGGAGGAAGCGAACCCGTTTCGCYGGATCCATTCATCTCGAGCATCAACGCCACGCTGGCTAAGAATCGGGGGCCGGCAACKAGGTTCGAGCGGGTGGGAAATTTCGTGTCGCAGCTCCAGCTGGTTCGAACGCTCCGTCCGCCCCCATCCGAGGGGTTTCTGGACGCAACGACCTCGACTCCCCCRCCCTACGATGCGGCGATCGATTCCTTCGTCACCGGACCGCTGCGGCTGGAACTCCGACCGCTCGTCGGTCGCCTCGAAACGGGGGGCAACGAYGGTCCACCGACCACAACTCCTTGGGACGTCTTTCACAACATCAGTCCGGCGGATCGCCGGGGCCATTTCCTCGTCTTGCCGTCGYTGATKGACAAGGAACGCAACTGGAGGGGTCAGAAGTTTCTCGCAGACGACTGCCACGACATGGTTCGCTTGGCAGGTGCCATCGAACCCGCGGGATCGATGTTTATTGGCTACAATTCGGTGGGTGCAGGAGCGAGCCAAAACCACATCCACTGCCACTCGTGGCCGTACCCGAACTTTGTCACCGACTCCGGCGAGGCTTTTCAATACGCCGTTGCCGGTGTCAGCAAAATTTATGATTTCTACGACATTTTCGATGGTGTAGTAGAGGTGTCCTACCTCAACTACCCGGTATTTTGCGTGCAAATGTCGTCGTGTAAGGAACATCTCGACCTTCTTGGAAAGGCTGTTGCTGCGTGCGTAGAAGCTATCGGCGAAGCCCCCCACAACATCGGATTCTTAAACCGTATCTCTGTGATAGAAGGGGAGGACGAGGAGGAGGAAGAGGACGACGACGACGACGAAAGCCAACACACCGGAGACGTCGATGCAGCCAGCCAAGMACAAGAACAACTCGAAATGGTGGACGTCTTTTTGTTCGCCCGTTCCAAGGAACGATCGAGTCTTGTCCCGACCCTCAAACTAGGAATCAGCGAAATGATGGGYGTMTTTCACGCACAGAGCGAAGAAGAACTGGAGGTTCTTGCCTCGGTCCACACGGTCGCCAAAGAACCGGATCACCACGAACACGACGAGGACATCGAGCGCGACTTTTTCGATGTTCAGAGAAAATCTACCATGGAGCTGGCGCTTGCCGATGTCTCGATCGAGAAGGACGAGGAGCTGTGGGAACGGATAGTGGAAAACCTAGCGGCGCTCGAAGGGAGCGAGGCCTGAGAAACAAATACGTACGGTACCGTACTGGCTTTTGCGACTTGTTTTTTTCTCTGCGGTGTCTCGACCGCGAACAAGGCGGTGCACAAGATGCCGGCACGACCGGGAACAGCCCCACGGGTGCGTCCCTAGCCCGCCGCACCATACCACAGGAACCATTGGAGCACGAGAGCGTTGCATGCAATCCTTTCGTCCATGCCGGTTYGGTTTCGAGCACGGCACGGCACGAGTGCCGTGCATCACGACCGTTTCTGCGTTTCGGCGCACCGGTTCCTGCGACGCAATGCGACGGGCACACAAACAGATTGYTACCGAGGGCAAACACACCATAGCAGTAACAATAAAACAATAACAAGAAGAGTCGCGTGCCATTGCCGCGGTACACTGTGAAGTAAAACGAACGAATAGGAATGCAGAAACAAAGCATGCCGAGCGTTCCAGCTCCGCCGACATGGTCCTCTATGTCGAATGGTTTGCCAAAGGAAGGATCGGACCGTCGTTTTCWCGACAACGACGCAACGCGCGGCATTGAGCGGTGCGGTGCGGCAGTGCAGTGCAGTGCAGTGCAATTTTTGTCATTGGTAGTATTATTATTATTTGTTAACGCCAGAGCTCCACGCATTCATGGAGGACGAGCTCATTTGCAAGCAGTCCATGCCACCGCTCGATTTTCTGCTCCCGTTGTTGCCGTTTGTGTTCATACCACCAAAGGCGTTCATGGTGTTSCCGGTCATCATGGTATTGTTCATCGACATCATGTTGTTGTTGTTGTTCTTGCTCATACCCATGCCCATGCCATTTATCATGCMATTCATCATACCAACGCCAATGCCGTTGTTGTTGCCCATCATGCCACCCATGCCGTTCGCCATCTTCRTTTGTTGTTGCATCATCATCATGGCCTGCTGTTGCTGCATCATCATTTGTTGTTGCATCATTTGTGGATTGCCCATGCCTMCAAACGCACCTTGATTGCTAGAGTTGGTGTTGGTGTTGGTRTTGTTCCATCCCATGGCCATGCAATTTCCCATTCCGTTCATCATGCCGTTGCCCATCCCGTTCATCATGTTGTTGCGATTTCCTTGGTGRTTGTTGTTTTGACCCGGCATGGTCATGGAGGATATCATSGACGATTGCTGGCTCCGGTTGGCACTGTTCATTATGGGTTTTTTGATCGCGGGTGCTACTGGGGCTGCTGCCACCGGTGCCGGGGTCGAAAAACTGTTGGTGGTAGTGGTAGTATTGGTAGTACTGGTGGTGTTCATAAAGTCAAAGCCAGACCCCGCCGCCGCGGATGGGGCAAAGGGATCGTTCTGGATCGTGGCAGCGGGCACGGCAGCARCGGGAGCGGGAGCCACCGCCGGGGCAAAGGCATCGAAATTGGCCTCAAAGGAAGCATGGTTCGTGGCCGCCGCCGCCGCTGCATTGCCGGTGGCGGGTTGGCGGCTTGTGGATGCCGGTGGGGCAGCGGAGGACACCGACGTGAAATCGAGCAGGTCGGCCACAGGGGCCGCGGGCGGTGGCCGGGCGGCCCTGGGAGCGGGTGCCCGTATCGTTGCCGCGGGATTCGGCTTTGGAACCACGGGCCTGCCGGCACTACTTGCGTTGTTGTTGTTCCTGTTGCTGTTGTTGCTGCTGCTGTTGCTGTTGCTGTTGTTGCTGCCAGCTCGGGCACCGTCGTCCTCGCCGTAGTACCTCCTGCGCTCGTAGGCGTCCACCACGAACCGCTTAAAGACGTCGACGGGGTCCCCCTCCTTCGGCCTCCCKCCCTGGCCGATGGGCGGGGCGTTCTTCAGCCAGGTGCGCCGCGCGTAGTCGTTGCCCCTGCACTCGAGCTCGTCCGCCTCCTTGTCGGTCCAGCTCGACATGGTGAGCGACTTGCACCGGTGGCTGATCGCCTGGTGGCTCGATTTGCAGTTGTTGCAGACAAAGGTGTAGTACTTGATGCACACCGTGGAGAAGCCAAACTTTTTCGCGGTGCCGCAATTGGCGCACACGGTGTTGGACGCCAAGCGGGCGAGCCGTTTCACGCGTTGTTCGGCGGCAGTGGACGACATCCTAGGGCCGTTGCTCTTCTTGTTGCTCTTGTTGCTGTTCTTCTTGTTGCTGTTGCTGTTGCGTTGCGTTGGTGCGAGTGCTCTATTCGGATTGGTAGCTATGAGTGCACCCGAAGTGAATCAATCGCGTCACGATTATTTGCTCCTCGTCCCCGAATTTCGTAGTCGTAGTCGTAGTATTTCTTCCGATGATTCTGTGCGTACTRCGCTTCGGTGCGTTGCTGGACGGGAGCAGTACTCGTACTCGTACGATTACTGTCACAACCATAGCATAAGGTACCTGTACGTAAAGTACCGTAAGTTACTGGTATTGGCGATCAAAAATGCGATTTTGCACAAAACTTTTTCCGCGAGCCGGTGAAGTGAAGAATGAGGCGAGTGAACAGAAGAGTCACAAAGGTACTATCTTAACGCTTTATTTCTAACCGTTAGTTGTATTTACCATAAAATTGTACAAGCAGCAAGACCAGTAAAGTAAGTACTGTACCGTACCTACCGTACCACGAGTTAATTTATCAATAATCGGCAAACATAATTCAGAACCAATGTTACTGTGCCAGATAGATACGCACCGTCAGTAAATACCGTACATCAAAATATACGTACATAGGAGCGCAGTACAGTACGTAGAGTACACTCTCTCTGGTTTCGTAACGTGATCTGACTGATAGGGTGAAGTACCAGGGTACGTACGTACTACTTCTGCAACTTTTTCTACTGTGTGACCTACGTAAGGACGGTGTATTGTGGTGTTTCTAACTCGAGCTCTCTAAAAACACACAAAGCATCTACGGTACCGTACGTACGGTACCGTATGTACCCTATGTAGTTCGAAAAAATTTTGAGAACGGCTCGGCTCGCTCCACTAAATAAGATTGATTTCACTCAAAAWTTTTAAGCAAAAGTTGGGGCAGCGCGGTTCGTACGTATTGATATCAGTATTGGTTTTCTTTCGAACAAATTCGGCAACGGGCAATCGTCGATGAACGCGTGATGCGTGATGCGTGATGCGAAGCCGCAAGCGTTCTCTTCTCGGTAGGCGTGGATTTTTAAAAAATATACATGTGTCTTTCTTCGGCTATCGAAGCACAAAAATTCTTCGAAACCGAGTGGTACGGTTCGACAACAGAGAACGCCTTCGTTGCACACCAACAACAACGCTATTGGATTGTGCGAAACATTCCCTGGTWCATTCCGGATCGATTGATTCGTACAAGCAACAGCTTCCGCTCGTTTCCAGGTTGTTCCCGAAACACCAAGCAACACAAACCCGTCGTTGGGGCCATCTCTATTTTCCCACCTGGGGTATCGAGTCGGTTTCTGTTGGTTCCTGTTGTGTATTTCATGACAGCCGGAGACGGAGACAGTAGTTGCCGCAACAGTGACATAACGTTGCAAGCCGCCAATCGCGACGCACAAGGCAACAATATGCCACCACGGGCGGGAACTGCTATGAGTTTCGGAAGAACGAGGGGGGACAGGGAGATCGCCGTCTACATTCAGAAAATCGAGCAACGAAAGGATGACCCGAGCAAACAAATCGAATACATGGGCAAGCTAAGGGCGCTCCTGCAGCAAAAAGTGCAGCAGCAGCAGCAGGTGTCGGACCTGGGGAGTCTCGTCGGRCCGTYGGTGGTAGACGGAATGAGACACTACCCCGCCAACGAAGAACTCATCGAAGAATGCACCTGCGTCCTCTACTTGCTTTCGATCCTGGATCCCACCTTCAAGAAGGGCGTTGCCAGGCTTTTCAAAGCCATGGAGGACCACAGAGAAAACGTTGCCATTCAAAGAGCTGCGTGTGCCGCCATTCGCCGCGTGATCAGCAAAAACCCCGATGCCATTCCCAGAATCATACCCTCGGTCAGCGTCATTCTAAGGTCCATGGGTGAGCACACGGAAAACTCCAAGTTTCTCTGCAGTGCGCTCGAGGTGCTGGCAATCATTGCCAGCAACGTCCCGGCCAAGCCRATTTTCGTGTACCGCGACGGGGCTCTCAACCACGTTCTTGCCGCAATGAAAAAATTTCCCAACGATCTGTCGATCCAAGCCACCGCCCTCCGGACCCTCTCCAATCTGGCGTACGGCAGCGGAGAAGAAATTTTGGAATCCTTTGGTCCCACCATCACCGTTGTGATTCGTGCCATGAAACGCCACGTTATGCACAACAAGGTTCAGCTGTACGGATGCTGCACTCTGCACTACATTGCCAATTCCTACAAGGAACAAATTTCCGAGTGCTGGGGCATTCCGACAATATTGATAGCGATGAAGGAATACGCACACGACATAATGCTGCAAGAACAAGGCTGTGCAACCTTGTCTATCATTCTCGACGAAAAACTCGATAACGACATTGAGGCGTTCATKAAAGACGACGGGTTGAAAACGATTCTGCAATCGATGATGCAAAGCCCGCAGAACGTCGAAATCCAAAAGTACGGTTTGAAAATCCTCAATTCGCTGAAAACGACGGACAACTACGAGCTAATGCTCTCGGCCGGTGGGCTCGACGTAATCATATCCAACATGAATTCCTTCGAACACCAAGCGGACATTGCCGTGCAGTGCTGCGAAATTCTGAAAAACTTTACTCGAATGTCCCTGGATTTTCAAAGAGCAGTATCCGCAAAAGGTAAGGAAAGAAATATTTGATTGGTTGCTATGACTGTAGGCTTTCAAAGGAAGCCTATCCCAACGCATTTTCGATCGGTGGAAGGAACAGAGCAAGTWTGCCCTGGAGTCGATTCCGGGCACACTGTGCTCGACGGTCCTTCCCACTTGTATCKTTCTTCTTCTCCTCCGAAATTCTGATCTGTGACTCTTCTCGCGTGAATGCTACCCATTGTTTTCCTATTGGATCATTAGGTGGCATCGGTTTAGTTTTGACAACCATGCGACGACACGTTAATAGCCACAGCGTTCAAGATTCCAGCTTTGCGTGCATGAGAAACATATGTTTGCATCGGGACAATCGTTTACTGGTCGAAGCTGAAGGTGGGATAGGTACGCTGCTAACCCACATGGCCATATATTTAGAGGATGCTGCGATACAAGCTTATGGGTGTGATGCATTGGGCCGACTGGCGACGGAGACAAAGAACCAAGTCACGATTACGAACGATAACGGAGTCGGGGAAGTTCTGAGAGCTATGCAAGAGCATCCGGGCCACCCGGGAGTACAAGACAGAGCCTGCTTCTTCCTTCTTGCAATGACAGAATATCCACCCGCTGTCGAGTCAATGGGSGACAAAAATACACTAGAAATTGTTCGCGGTGCTAGGGGGAAAATACCCCCCAAAGAGGTTGCGAAGCAACGGCTGGAAACCCTAATTAGTCGCTTGGAGAAAGAAGAAGGAACGGGATGGTTCAAAAGAAAATAATGATTCAGATCTTTGTTCACAATTGCATGATTTAAAGAAAACGACTTCTATTACATGAGTGACTAGGCCATGTACGCCTCCCGTTTGTATACGAGTACAACACAATACAGTGTAATGCATCATATTGTTTTCTTTTGTATAGTAAACCATATATGTCAAACGCCTACAAATATTAGTAACCCTAACGTGTCACTAACACTTCAAAACMAAAAAAWTCTTTCCAATCMYCGTGAGCCATTTTCCTCCAGTGTTTCATCTGGTGCTCATAGCAGTTTGTACACCACAAATTCATCTGGAACCTTTGTGTTATTATTCTAGATACTATTTATGAATTWTATAAGTTGTATTTGTTTTAGACACTTTTCCCCATGGACTGCAGTCTRGTGTGCTCATGCTACTAGTAAACATGGTACKAGTAGCTAGGACTTTGGAATTGTTGTTGAAGAATCGCTTGAGAGGAGGACTAGTACTCTAGCAAACCAATGACTGCTGGTTGACACACCATCACAAGGACATTACTAGAAGACATAGGCATGAAATTTTGGAATGCATTACTGCTAGTGCTAGWACTAGCTACTACTCCTACTYGTCCTACCAGAATTTAGTAGAGTGCTATCCTCRYTTTTAGTTCATAGCTACTTTCCCTCTGGCTAGGGAGCAAACAGATCTTCAATCAAAGCAAGATGGATGTACTCAAGACTAACATTTTCTACTGATTCCTTTGCAAGGCTAGACAGGAAGAACATGTCATTTTATCAGCAGAGAGCCAGGACTAGGATTTGCTGTTGTACCTTCCTCCTTTCTCTTGTTAGTAAAAAAATCTTAATATTATTTTGCACATCATGAACTAGAAGAGGTACTAGTATGCGGGCCACCAGAACCAGAACTTGTTTGGAGAAGAATGCTCCTAGCTCCTCTGAGGAGTGGTTGTGGAGGCACAACGCTGGCAACTGCTTTGGAATCAACAAGAATTGTAAGTGCATACCTATGTCATTGGTRTTTGTAAAACAATATCATCCATTGCACCATCCATTTTGATACAGGAGAAGCATTCCTGCTATGGGGATCAATGAGACAAGCCAAGCTTGGGACACAAGGTACTGCGTCATCAACAAAACATCAGGACAAGAGGTCAGACAGATTGATGGGCAAATGACTGACTCAAAAAAAGCAACCCTGTATTTTGAACTATTGTATAGTTGGCTACCAAATGTACRAACCAGTCGCACATTTTGGGCCCTAGTCATATGGGGAAGTTAAGGGGTCCTAGTAGTAGTAGTGGAAGAAATCAATATATGTGTATGAATATAGGATTAATAATGTACAATTAAATTGGCCRGAAAAATGTAGCCACGCCTATCATCCAATAGGGGGTTAGCGAGTATTAAAAGTATACAGTGCTGTATATCTAATTCACCACAAAAATGTAGCCATGCCTATCATACATGATGGAAACCATCATTTGCTTTTGCAACATGGTATYATTCAATAAAGATTTTAATAAAACACAGTTGAGTACAATATAAGGACTCTCCGGTTATACCAAAACTGCAAGAACAAATACTAGTACTACTTGTTAAAATTCACAAATTTTTAACCTACTAGTAGTGTCTGCTGGGTAAGTTGTGGTTTGAAAACAATGAAGACTATTCACTATTTTATTGGTAATGGAATTTTCTGTTTTATGCTTGTTGGTGAGTGTGATTGCTGCCCCATCAAGCTTCTACAAACATTGTTGAGGAAACAACCAAATTTTTAATGGCATCTATCTTCAACATATAGTTTGCTCTCATCAGCTTTTTCTCTAAGTATTAGTAAGATGAGTAGTGTTTTGGTATATTTTAATTTKGGTTGTCAAGCAGTAGCTATTTGTTGGTGTGCTTCTCCTCCACCAGGATATGTGCTGCCGCTTGTAGAACCTTCATTCTCCTCCTAAGAATTGATGGTTATAAATTAGTACTACCAGTACCTAATAGTAGTAGTGGATGAGTGTAAAAATAATACCATTAAAATGGTTATTATCTTGTCTTACTAGTGGTAGTAAAATTATAATGTGAGTGCTGTGACTAAGTGCTAGAAGAAAAGCAAGGCAATCCWCTTATTGAGAATCCACAGATTAAGAAGTCTAAAATCAATCAAAGTGAGAAGAGAGTGATGTGTGTGAATCAAATGAGTTGACTAAATTGTGAGGATCCATAGGATTGAATGCATCATGAATGTAGAGTGGTTGTGAATCATAGATATCATGCATAGTAGTATGTATGTATGTATGTATCATATATACTAAACATACCTACAATATTATATGATCCTCCTACAGACACCAAATTTTGCAGGCTTTCTGCTGTTCTTGTGTCTTCAAACAGATCAGTTGTGAGGAGTCCATAAACCTTGTTCTTCCTCTTCCATGAGGCAGGATCTGTTGGAACACAGCAAGCATTGTGCTTCTTGTGCTCATGCTCCTCTGTCTCTTATTCTCTATTAATCCCTTTATCAATTTCATTCTAGTAGCTATCCTCATTCTGTCCTCAGCAATCAAGAATCACAATTTCATCCAGTTCTTGGGCGCTTGAAATTATCAAGAATAAATAAGGAACAATCAGTAGCCAATTGAGGAGAATAATGCTGCTGCCAGCAGATTATTTACACACAATACTAGTACATGAAGCATTTWATTGTAAACAGCACTTCTGTTGTTYATTTCTGTTTTGTTATTCTAAATATACTTTTGTTCTTCTTGATTTGTTACTACTACTATTCCTTTCAAACTTCTAGTACTATCAGTAAAAAATTGGTTTTTATTGACAGTAGTACTACTACTAGTAGTAGTAGCTACTATTACTATTACTATTACCATTACCATTACTATCTACAACAACTGCAACTACTTCTAGTATTGGTACTTATTCTAGTAGTATGGTGGGCTGGTCTTTGACGCGTAATCCAAGAAGAATTGATGGCTGCTGGTCTTTGACGTGTGGTGGTACTCCAAGGAGAAGAAAGGACACAAACTCACCAAACATTTTTTTGGTCTCTGCTGCTATCAACCTGACCATTCAAACTACTTTGCATGAGGAAATATCTAACATAATCCTCCAACCCACCCACAAACCTGGTCTTGCCTCCACAGACACTCCTYGGAGGCAGGGAGGAAGTGCCACCCCWCGGTGCAACTAGAAGCATACTAGTACTTCAATTCTTAAACTATGGTCCTGGCCATATAGTGTCTCTTCTAGTTGATGATGTTGAGGTTAAATATATCATTAAGCTTTTTTTAGTATTGCTGGTACTAATTCTAAAACTTGTGCCCTGCTAGTATTCCTTGGCTACTAGTAGATGCTTGAGCCCTCCTTTAGTACTACTACTTCCTCCGGTCCACTATATGTGTCATTGTGTCCGTGTTTTTACTGGTCCTGAATATGTGTCATTGCAGTTGGGCCTATGTAAGATTGTGTACATTCATTACCAGGAACTTCCTTTGTCACTATTACACTTATTTTAACTACTTGTCACTATCACTACTATGCTTGTTGTTGTTCTTCCTCAGCAGCAGCGGCAGCAAGAACTTGCCTTCCTGCTGCAATGCAATCAGGCTTGCAAATAATTGAAAGTGGGAGCACACCTGCACGCATCAGACTTGCTTTTCCAAGATGGGGAAGCTTGTAGTTACTATCACCTCCAACACCAAGTGAGGCTTGCATAAAAGTCTGCAGAGACAAAAGCACATTATTCAATGTTTCATGCTTGCACTCATCAAAAGCTTGCTTTACATTTTCAATCAAATGATCAATCCCTTTTGATCTTTTCTTGTACTGCAAGCTTTGAATCAAATTGAAGAATCCAAGATCAAAAACATTCATGCCTGGACTTTTTGGTGGCTGTGTTTTTACACGAATATTCCACCCAGCACTTTCTGCAGCTTTTGTGACATCATCTCTGATTGACGGCTTGTGTCGCTTCGCATTGTCCTCCTGAATGAAAATCTCAGGAGGAGGATTCCCGTCTGCTCCTCGTGGCCACTTTTCATAGATTGCTGGAAGCACTTCTTCAAGCAACTTTTGCTTATACACCTCACCATTTACATTCTGTGGCTTTGTGACTAGGGTTCCTGCTGGATGGTTGACAGAGTTTCATTTTGCTGCTTCTTTAACCACGAAAGGCCAGATCCCAATTTTTCCATCAAACCAAGCATTGCGGCACAAATCATACCTTGGATGTGCTGTGGCACACAAGAACACAACCTTTGTCATATGGTTTTTAGACTTTGATGTAGACTTGGGTTCATCTTCATCAGCAAGCAGATATGTTGTTTGTGTAGTCCTCTTCAAGTAAAACCATTTCTCATTGATATGAATCCACTTGAACCAATCATTGAATCTTCCACTACTTGCATCAATGTGACTCAATATCCATTGAACTCATTGGAGTTTGTTTGCAGGAGTTAGTAGTGGCTTGGTACTCCCTTTGTGCTTTTTAATGTTACCACGCTTTACCATACGAAGAAGAGATGTCTTAGGAAATCCAGTAGCAGCAGAAAGACTTCTTAGATCACCTCGATCTTTCAGCGGAACATTCCTTACAGCCTCATCCAATCCTTCCATATGCTTGACTTTGCAACCAGAGTTGTGTCTTCTAGATAGCACATCACCAGCAGGGCAAGTGATAGGATCCACAGTTTGCTTGTACCATTTCCAAACCCTTGCAATTGTCCTTACTGATACGTCGTAGGTTGATGCTGCTTCCTTGAGAGCTCCCCTTTCCAGAACCTACTTTCCAGTAGAGCTTCTTTGATGATGCTGCAAAAGATACTGGACAATGGCAAGTCTCTGATTGTTTGTCAAGTTCTTGCTCAGCTTTTTACTAGGAGATGTGTCACTGCTTGAGGAATTGCCATTGCTGCTTGCTGAAGACAAGACTGCAGTCTCTTCCCCAGCAGTAAGGAGTAGCCTTGCGTCCGTAATCGTCGCATCCGTAACCATTGTGTCTGTGTTTGATTTGCTTTAAAAAGAATCAAGGGGAGGGAAAGTGAGATAAAACAAAGAAAACAACAAGCAGCAATAGTAAAGAGACAACCTAATGGTTGATTGTTGAGCAATGGAGATGAACCAATGGAGGCGAGGCAAGTCAGTCATTTGCTTCCCCCCTCTTTGTGGAGGCACAAAGGAGAGGCAGACTTGTTGATGGATCCCTCTTAGTGGAAGCAACAGAGACGAGTTGGCTGGATCTCACTTCCCCCCTCTTAGTGGGCGCGAGGCAAGGCACTCAGTGGAGGCACCTAGTGGAGGCACAGAGACAGCTTCCCCCCTCTTACTAGTGGAGGCGCGTTGGCTCAACGGAGACAGTGGAGGCGCGGAGACGCGAGTCGGTCTTCCCCCCTCTTAGTGGAAGCAATGGAGACGCAATTCCCTGCAATGGAGGTGCGAGGCAAGTCGTTGGATGGCTTCCCCCCTCTTAGTGCAAGCAACGGAGGCGCCAGACGAGTCCATCCTATGCTTCCCCCCTCTTAGTGGTTGGCTCAACATCAATGAGCAACGGAGACGTGAGTCGGTCTTCCCCACTCTTAGTGGAGGCGCTCAGTGGAGGTGCTCAGTGGAGGCGCGTAGTAGTGGAGGTGCGTAGGCTCAACTTCAATGAGTCACTTGAGGTGCAAGGAAGAAGGCTTGGATAGCAAAGAAGCCGGTCTTAGTCAATTGCATGGAAAGAGCGAAGTGAGTTACAGAAAGGCGTCAAAAAGAGGAAATTGGGAGGTGCAAGTGAAAATTATCACGTGAAAATAACACAGTGCACCATGCGCACAGCACTTTTTTTTCTCTTCGCATCCATTCTCCAGCTCAAAAATTGTAAAAGAACCACATGAAAACTGCACAGCCTGAATAAGTGCCCAAGCAATATTTGTGTTCTCTAGTGACCCACTATGACCGCATAAGAACCTTCTCAATAAGTACAATAAGAATATCATGATAAAGCTCTCAGTCTAAGCTTTCTAAAGCTGTATTTGATCCCTTCTTTAAATGACTGGTAGAGCGTAACTGACGGTGAAATCACATTAATATGCCAAAAATGGCTCGGTTTGAACAGCCATAAAGAGTTCACTAATGATATACACTTAACACAAGTGTACACCACTATAATAGATCTGTTAAGCAAAAAAAGAAGCATTCCAATCACCCAAATACCAACCTTATTTCAGTAGTAAAGGTGATAAAATGACACATATACTAGTGGACCGGAGGAAGTAGTTCATTTAAGTTCCTCATCTAGTACTTCTTATGGCTCCAGAGTTTCACTCTTTGTGTCAAACTCTAGAGAAAGGGGGTTTCTAGATTCAGAGAATTTAGACATTCATTTTGACTCACAATTTTTGGTCAAAAATACCYGTAGATAATTTCAGGTGAACAGGGGGAAATTAAAAAARGGGGGGGGGGATCCGGTTTGTTAGGTTCGGAATGGCCCTGSCGAGATTTTAGGGAATGAACCATTAAGTATTCAGTGACACGAGTTTTTGCTCTTTCATTTTTTCGCGGATAAACTTTTGCAGAATTGAAAAGAGAATAGATCGCACCATGAAGACATGAAAAAAAAAACGCCACGTGCTAATTTTTGATTTTCATCTCACCATGAGTTCGAAACGGGGTCACACGGCAAACTGATTTTTGGGGAAAAACGCCACGTTGCTAATTTTCGGTTATTTGTCTCACGTCTGGCTTCATGCGTTCGATTCTCCCACCAAATTTTCCGCSCTACGAGTATTTGTATGAMCAAAAACTAGCGGCCCACAGCGAGTCTAATCTTGAAAAGTTGGTTTCGCCCATATCGTCGTGGATGATCTAAGAATGCTTTTCCTACGTGACTAATCGTGATGAAAATTGAGCCACGCAAACGACAAGGATGCAAAGAATGAAACGTACACCGCACAGCACCACCGTACGTACCGTACGACGGATCAACCTCAAAACTCAAAAACCTCTCAGAAAGTTATCGACAAAAGTCATAATAGCAGTTCTCGTCATATTTCTTTGTGACAATACATTGAACACCCACTACAAGAAATAAAATACATTAGTCTAAAATGTACTTCGCCAAGCTTGCCGTCGCCGCTTGTAAGTGAATGGACTGTGACATGCATAGGGCGTTCGAGGAGCGAAGATTGAATTCTRAGACTGAAAGATTCGCGGAATGWCGTTTGTTGGTCGATTCATTTTTGAGTTTTTTGGTGATTCAACTGCTATCACCTCATTTKGGCATTGTAGATTCAGAGATTGGCAGACGTAMCTCATTTCCATGTTACCAATGTAAAGCTAAGTATGCTCACACATGTCTYATTTTTTTGTTTCGAACCGAATGGTATCTTTTGCACATTTTTCCATGGCATGATGAAATGCTTTAATTGCATCCGAAATTAAATACGACAGTGGCCCTTTTGGCCTCGCCATACACTGCCCGTGCCGAAGAGGAGGAACAAATGGGAACCGTTATTGGTATCGATCTCGGAACCACTTACTCTTGTGTTGGTGTCTTCAAGAATGGACGTGTTGAAATTATTGCCAACGACCAGGGTAACCGTATCACTCCTTCGTACGTTGCCTTTTTGGATAACACCGAGCGTCTTGTAGGAGATGCYGCCAAGAATCAAGCCACCATCAACCCCGAAAACACTGTCTTCGATGTGAAGCGATTGATYGGACGCAAATTTTCTGACAAATCCGTCCAAGCCGACAAGAAACTTGTTCCTTACGAAATCGTCTCCGACAAGGACAAACCCATGATCCAGGTCACTGTTGGCGGAAAGAAATCCAAGTACGCCCCTGAAGAAGTTTCTGCCATGATCCTTCAGAAGATGAAGTCTACCGCAGAAACTTTCTTGGGTAAGGATATCAAGAACGCTGTTGTTACTGTTCCTGCTTACTTCAACGATGCCCAGCGTCAAGCCACCAAGGATGCCGGAACCATCTCTGGAATGAAGGTCGAGCGTATCATCAACGAGCCTACTGCTGCTGCCATTGCCTACGGTATGGACAAGACCGGAGGAGAATCCAATGTTCTTGTTTTTGATCTTGGAGGAGGTACATTCGATGTCACTTTGTTGACCATCGACTCCGGTGTTTTCGAAGTYTTGGCCACCAACGGTGATACCCACTTGGGAGGAGAAGATTTCGATCAACGTGTCATGCAATACTTCATCAAGATGATGAAGAAGAAGTCCGACATCGATATCTCTGGCGACAAGCGTGCCCTCCAAAAGCTCCGAAAGGAAGTCGAACGTGTCAAGCGTGCTCTTTCCTCGCAGCAACAAGCCCGTTTGGAAATCGAAGAGCTCGCCGATGGTTACGATCTCAGTGAGACCTTGACCCGTGCTCGATTCGAGGAATTGAACAACGACTTGTTCAAGAAGACCATGGGACCTGTCTCCCGTGTCATGGAAGATGCTGATTTGAGCAAGAGTGAAATCGACGAAATCGTGTTGGTCGGTGGATCCACTCGTATCCCTAAGGTCCAACAACTTATTTCCGAATACTTCGGAGGAAAAGATCCTTCGAAGGGAATCAACCCCGATGAAGCTGTCGCTTACGGTGCCGCCGTTCAGGGAGGTATCTTGTCTGGAGAGGGTGGCGATGCTACCAGTGAAATTCTTCTTTTGGATGTTACCCCCCTTTCCCAAGGTATTGAAACCGTCGGAGGAGTCATGACCAAGCTTATCAACCGTGGTACAACAATCCCCACCAAGAAGTCCCGTAAGTATTTTCAAATTGAATGGAATCTTCCCAGCATTCTATCGAAGATGATTTTCTTCTTTCCTCACATGTAATTTTTTATCATTTTCACAGAAACTTTCTCCACCCACCAAGATAACCAGAGTGTTGTWATGATCCAGGTCTACGAAGGAGAGCGATCCATGACCAAGGATTGCCACAACCTCGGAAAGTTCGAATTGACTGGAATCCCTCCTGCCCCTCGTGGAGTCCCCCAAATCGAAGTTACTTTTGAAGTCGATGCCAACGGTATCTTGCAAGTTTCTGCCGAAGATAAGGGAACCGGAAAGGCCGAAAAGATTACTATCACTGCCGAAAAGGGACGTCTCTCTGACGAAGAAATCGAACGCATGGTCAAGGAAGCCGAGGATTACGCTGAGGAAGACAAGAAGATCAAGGAACGTATCGATGCCCGAAATGGATTGGAATCTTACCTCTACAACCTCAAGAACACTCTTGAAGATGACGAAAAGGGTGTTGCTGACAACATCTCTGCCGAGGACAAGAAGGAATTGCAAGACATGCTTGACGAGACCCTTGACTGGATGGACGAAAACCCTGAAGCCGACAAGGAAGATTACGACGAGAAGATGAAGGAAGTTGAGCAAGTGGCCAACCCTATCATGCGAAATGTTTACGCCGGATCTGGTGGAGGCGCAGACGAAGATGCCGGTGACTTCGGTGATGACGAACTYTAATCGGGTCATTCACAGTGAATAYAACTAATAAAAATTAAAAATACTTTTGAATTCAAACATTTTTCTCTTGGAGCTTCATGAGTATTACTGCTGAAARGTGCTACAGTTATGCCTGTTTTTTGATCGATTCTACCTTTTTGTGCCCTGCTACAGTTGTGCTTGTACGATCCAGATTCACCAAGGGTTGAACCGAAAGAATAAAGTKKGTCGAACCAAAAGAGTTTTGAGTGATCAAACTAAACAAGCAAAGGATTTCTCTCTTGTGCCATCGAATTGATTTGGTTTCTAGGGGTGATTATAGCTCCACAACCAGTTTTCACGCAGGAGACAAGATAGCGGGCGTTTAWTTCGATCGACTTGTTTGTTTTATTGTTTGCCTTCCCTTGCACTTCGCGTGATTGATTCCATGAAATTTTGCAGCGCATCAACATCCTCCTGCTGCGGACTGCCGCAAAAACCACGGCAGGTGTTTTCGTCGTAGACTCGATTGGTTCGTTCGATGGCCGTCTGCGCCACGGTGTCGCCCACCTTCGAAAACGATTCTACGATCTGGTCCGAGGATTGCACGGCGATCACGATGCTCATGAGGAATCCGAGGGAGGCAAAGAGGACGGCGGGGACCAGGAGGAGGAGGGTGCCGTCGGCCGGGATTTCCCCAAAGAAGGGTACGTTCTGCGTGGGTTGGTCYGGAGCGGCATTGGAGGTGTCCCTCGTGAGCGAGGCCATGAGGGGGTCCATACGCCGCTGCGCTACCTGCTGGGGGGTGTTTCGTGCCGGTGCCGGGGGAACGTAGGCGGTGGGCATTTGTGGTTCTTCCTCGTCGCCGGGCCCTTCGGGTTCTGGCGTCGAGTTCAAAACCGTGGCGAAGCGATCGCATCGCTGCTGCGGAACTCCCGGTTTCTGGCACGCTTTCGTCGCCGCCGCCGTCGTCGTAAACGCAAGAGAGGTTTGCGTTTGGAAGCTAAGATAGCAAGCTAGAGCTACGACAGTGCACGTGGTGATTCGGATCGCCGTCATTTTGCGTTCGTCTTGTATCGGAAGGGTTCGATTCGTGTCGTGTCGTGTCGTGTCGTTTTATTCTGTTGTGCTGTATCCGGTTCGGGTCTGCTGGTATGTTGTAGGATCTCAATGGCAGAGGTATCCGTGATTACTTTGGGAAACTCCGAAAACACCCGTGATCCGAAACGGTGACGACTTCATGATTCTTTCTCGTTTCAAGTTCAAAACCCAACACCCCTAGAACGTGACGATTGAACTTTGCGGATCGATTTTTTAGGAATCTCAACCAACGTCTTCCCTTCGACCGCAAGGGTTTGTTGAAAAAAATATTGTAACTCCTTTAATAGTAGTAGATTTAATAGTAGATTTAGTACAGTGCTAGGACGAGGAGGAGGACTACTACTACTAGTAGTAATGTCATTTGGTTAAGAAATGAGTACTACTACTGCTGATACTGCAGCAGTTACAAGAGGAAATCAAAAGAGAAACACTTTTAGAAACTGAATGATAGTAAGCAGAAGAACAAGAGGACTTAGTAAACTTCTTGGTGTTGTTTGGAATTGGTGGTGGCTTCTTGGTGTGATCATACTACTACTACTAGCTAGTACTAGTAGTACTACCGCCACAAGGAGATGATTTTTTCTTCTGGAGAAAGAGGAGGAGGAAGAGCAAGAAAAAACTGTGGTGGGGGTGGTACTAGTATCACCAAAACAACCCAAAGAACCTGAGGATTTGATAATTTCTGCCTTTTAATTTAGAAGATTACTAATAGTACTTGTATTTGTGTTAGTATGTAATACTACTAGCTACATGATGTAATATGACCTCCAAGGTTCAGAAAATAGAAAAATAACACTTGAATTAAGAATTTGCATCACTGCACCATACGTTCCACGCGTAGGCKCTCGTGACACGTCGATGATGTCAACAAAAAACGACTTAAGGGGTAGGAGTAGGATCGTATCGTAGGTACAATTACGTAATCGATCAGCCGTTTCTCGATCCCGAGCTATCGAGTGAGTTGCCGTTGTGTTGACAACACCGTAAGATTGTTCAACGTGCGKTTTCTTTCATTATCCGTACCTTTAAACCATTGGAAGTAACACACTRCGGCAATCAAGACAACCGATCTCCATTRACCCATTCTAGCAACGACGCGCTTGCMAAAGTATTATGATCGGGAAAAATCGTTCTCTCGCCGCGCTATTTGTTGCCTTGCAAACCGCCTCGACCACGGATGCGTTCACCCCTCGGGCTTTGTCGTYAGCATCTCCGTCAACTTCTGGGWTTTCTGCTCTGCAACCGTCGACTGTTCGACTCTTCTCGTCCCTAGACGATGACGAACTCTACAAGATGCTTGGAAAGCGAAGCGGGATCCGAAGGAAAAGCAAGGAGGAACTCCCTAGCGAGGATGCTGTTGATGACGACGATTTTGCAAACGACCTCCTTGATGATTTCGACCTGGACTCGGACTTCGTTCCCGATTTCAAAACAACTCGAAAGAAGCGAAAGCCTAAAAAGAAGGACAAGGACGAAGACAATGATAAGCCAACAAGCAGCAGGAATGACGATGCGGGATTCGATTATCTCGCCGACTATGACGACGAGAATGATCTTCATATACCCAATCGTCTCGGTGTATCAACGAGATGCTGGGGAGAACAAAAGGAAGGTTTTGTCCCATCGGGTAAGCTAAAGAAGAAACAGCTTCGCGAAGGAAAATTTGTTCCGGGTGATTTGCAGGTTGCATACAACAAGCTGTTAGAGGAGGGAATTTTCCTCTTTGAAACATCGCCTGCCTACGGAAAAAGTATGGCAAAAATGGATCTGTCATCCGAAGCAATTCTTTCGAAATTGATCAAAGAAAACCAAGAAAGCGAAATTCCTCCATTGCTAGTTTCTACATACGACAATCAGATATGGGAGCGTACCAAAGGTGGATTGATTTCGGGACTATCGGCGTCCTGCGAAACACTCGACCAGCCAGTAGTTGATGTTTATCAAGCCAAAAACATCGGATGGTTGCCATCTGGTGGTATTATCAAGGGGATGGCAGATGCAGTCATAGACGAAGGAACAGCAAACTTTGTTGGTGTTCAAAATGTGTCCCCACTTCGAATGCGTCGTTTGAACCAAAAACTGGATTCAGTTGGRTTGTCGATCACCACTAATTGCTTCGAATTTTCTTTGACTAACCGAAAAAAAGAGAAATGGATCGAATCTTGCAAAGCACAGGGAGTAGTTCCACTRATCCGAAATCCTGAWGGATCTGGATTGGCATCCGCGCAGTACACCGCATCAAATCCATCTGGTGGAGTGGCATCGGCCGGGTCAAAATATTCGTTCAAAACTTTAGAAAAATATCAACCACTTCACAGTATGCTAGAGAGCGTCGCGGAACGAGTAAGGACGAGATTGCTCCGCGAGGGACGGAAACTAAAGGGTCGGACGAAGGGACCCGAGGTCAGTGCTGTCGTTGTGTGGATTATCTTCTGGATTTATGTTTTTTTTTAGATTCTATCTCACGAAATTATTTCAATTTTTAATSGCGCAATAGAAAAAGGTGAACACAGATATTACAACAGCTCAAGTTGCACTGAACTACGTAGTTGCTAAAGGGGCAGTTCCGTTGGCGGAAGTTAATAGCCCGAAAGATGCCGAGCAATTGGCTGGTTGTGTTGGCTGGTCACTTACCGACGAAGAGGTATCCATGTTGGAGTCAGCAGCAGAGTTGTGTTCTTGAGTCCAGAAAATTATAATTAAGATATAATTAAATTCTATTTCTCAATTGCCTTGGAAAAATAAAGGATTCTTGTGTATACACTTTATCAAAACATCGGTCTCCGACGGACAGGATTGCATACGATCTTTTTCACTCCGATTCAGAACATCTCGTCTGGCAGCGCATGCTTCCAATCGCTCGTATGCTTTCGAACACGGRCCATCCTTTAACTTGTTGGCTTTTCGATTGTGTTGTGYGGTAGCATCCATATTTACCTTCCTACCTTGCGTATCGACCGAACAGGTTTCGATACTGAGTACTCGTACTATCTCCCTTCGCAACAAGCTATTATTGTCTCTTTTGGACCTGCCWTWACGAAAAYCCCTGAGAAAAAATGYGCCATCCGTTCGCATTATGTTGAGATCCATGCCTTACTACGTACTACTGTTTGCGTACTGCGTCCGAGTACTGCACCTACCGTAACAAATATACTGTATGGGCAGGGGTACGGTACGAGTAGTCACGCAGGGGACCATRAAGTACCGAAAAATGCGAGTACGTACCTGTACAGGATGTACATACGAAACTCTTACAGTAGTTTCTATTTTCCGCACCTTTCCTGCGCGCGAAATGGCCGGTGACCAAAGCTAAGAGCCACCTSTAYGAGAGCGAAATGAAGAAAGCAACAGKGAAAGAACGAAGAACCACTGCTTCCCCCGTACGTTGGGTACGAGCGCCCGTACTATGTTGTCGTAAAACCAGATGGCACTCTTTGGTACGAGTACGTAAGGTACGAACATTATTGGTAGTTAACAAACTTCGAGAAACAGAAAGGATTTTTGAGAATGATATGAAATGCTCTCTCGATAAACTACGAAAAACAAGGAAGTATCTGGCAACTAGGAAATTACAAGAAGTTGTTGAATGGTCGTGTCATCTTCGTCCATATTTCGAAAGAATCGCAAGATAGAATTTATGATAACTCATTGCATCAGATAAGGCAAAGACTACTCACGCTGACGAGTGCCAAGGCGTTGACTTCTTCGCCTTTGCGACACGGAATTATTCAAAATGGGAGCTCAACAAAGCGCCGATGCCGACGAAGATTGCCGTCCATGTTTTGGGATCGAAACTCCATTCAAGCGAAATGCGAAATTAAATGATCCTTTGGGATCACCCTTACCTGACATTCCAGCGTCGAGGCGAAAACAACGGGAGTTTAGTAGTCGATACGACGGGCTGGAAAAAGAGACTTCGTCGGCTTCGAACATGAACAGCCTTTATGGGAACGTGGCGCAAACRAACAACAGTTCACGAACTGCTGGTGTTTTCGAAGGATCGGTACGTGAACGATTACACCTGACTCGTGAGAAAGTCGACGATGAAATTTACATGTCGGCTTCACTTCATCTTAGGATACAAAGACGACTCCGGTASCGAATGATATGAAGACAACATTGTTTTTATGCTGTGTTTATCAGCAAGATATTGCTTACTTATTTTCTGAAACGAGAATTCAATACTAAAAATCGTGTAATCTCTCTTTTTAATCCCGAAATGTTCTCGATCTGTGCGATACTTCAACCAAAGGATGCTGAAGCGGCACTTCACCAAAAGTACCAACTGATGGAAGTGTTAGGGGTCGGTTCAACTTCAACTTGCCACAGATGTGTCGACAAAAAAACTGGTGCTCACTACGCATGCAAAATTATTGACAAGCAGATGATAGAAGAACGTTTCCATGGAATGATGGAACAATTTCATACAGAGATTGAGGCTCTTCGAGCTCTCGACCATCCCAGCATAATCCAGCTTCTAGATGTCTTCATAAGCGAGGAAAAAATATTCATTGTCATGGAACTAATGGAAGGCGGTGAGCTTTTTGATTATGTTGTACAAAAGGGGACTCTGACAGAAGACGAGGCATCAAGTATTGTTCGAAAAGTTACAAGCGCCATGGTTTACATGCATTCACAAAATATTGTCCACAGAGATTTAAAACCAGAAAAGTAAGTCCAATTAGAAACGGGCAATCGTGAAATTGACAGTTTTTCTTCGGTGGTATACTATTGAATACGTGCAATATATCTCAGTCGTCGTTTGTGTTTTGAAAGCCTTCTTTTAAGACGTAAACCGAACGGGCCTCATGATTCTGTTGATGTCAAAATAATTGATTTTGGTTTATCGAAGGTACGTGTATCGAGCATACGAAGTTTACCAAATTATTTGAGAAATCGTAGGCTAAGGACATTCACGCTTCTGCATCCTTCAATTTTTTTTACAAATATTTACCGTATTAATAGTGCATGACGGAACCAGTTGCACAGAGTTTTCTTGGTACTCGTGGTTATTTGGCTCCTGAAATGTTGCAACGAAGAAACTACACAAAGGCTGTAGACACCTGGGCATTAGGTGTGATTGTTTTTGTATTGTTGTGTGGATGTTTGCCATTCGACGACGATTCTACAACTGTTCCCAGCGATGATTTAGTTCGCGCAAAGTTTGTACTACGGTTTCCACGATGGGCTAAGAATTTATCGCCTTCGGCGAAGGACCTTCTATCCCATTTACTCGACGTGAATCCTGCCCGACGTTATACGGCAGATCAAGCCTTAGATCATCCATGGGTTACTGGAAAGGCGGCGCTGAAGGGAAATYTATTGGCATCCCCAGGACGAATCAAAAAGAGTCCAGCGCTTCGCAAGGGAGCAAACCGAACACCTCAAAATGGTGTCCGCGGGAAAAAATACTACCCACCAAGTCGTCATCAAGCAGCGAATATAGGATTGTCTCCTCCTCCCCARCGTGTCATAGCAAGGAAGACAAGCATTTGAGGATTGAGCGGAGTAATAAGATTTCTGATGATAYAATGCAAATATCCTTTTTTCTCCGTGCAAATATTCGTTGCGAGAGAGAACCGTATTWATCTTCATGGCCGTTCTTATTCCGACCCATTATTCATCAACTTACTACTCATAGTACTCCTATCGTATGAGTGCATCTACTAGACAATGGATTCAACAATGAAGAATGCAGCTTGTTTCTTGCATATACCTCCCATWACRCATCGATGTTATCGTCGGCAGTTGGAGCAAATGTAGCATCTAGTTCGAAGTCGTGTCATGTACGATTACTAGTGCTCACCGTTTATCATCTGCAATCGCGAACAGAGATGCAACGAATAACACACTTTTTGACWACTGCTTTTAGACATRGCTAATACTAGCAAGAAAATGTTTCGTACTAGTTCGACAGAAGAGTTCCCGTACCGGCAGTTTCGAGCAAGCTCCTCCACTTTTTGCTTTCACCTGGTACGTACCATATGTTACTACCATACAGTACCATAACAGACTTCCATTTGCACTTCCTTCGTACCGTATGGTACGAGTACCGTACGCGCCGGTAGAGATACGTTTTTGAAAAACGGTTTTTCACTCGTTTTTAATAACGTCCAGTTGCTACGAATTGCTACGAACTACCGTACCTACGCACATTGAACGACACGGTACGCTTCGTTTTTTCAACCGACAAGGCATTCTGTGCWAATGTTAATAGGCTCGTTCCTTTGTTGCACCTGCAAATGTTAATAGACTCCGTACTGCGTGTTAATACGTGGTTTACAATAGAGGAGTGAGGTTATTCACTAGCTACTCGGGATTTAGCAAAACATTCTGASCTACCCCTGATGATTAACTAGCGTAMTTCAGAGTCCGAGTTTTTCGGCAAAACTACGCACTCGTTCAAAACTGGATACCGTTTCTGATGAAAGCTTGAACGATTTGGGGATGAAGACACTGAAACATGCTTACACCGAGCTCGCCAAGGAGCGATACGACATACTGTTCGCAAGCTGTTTAATTGTTGTAGAGTTCGCTTTAGGGCTTTTGATTATTCAAAAAGTTCCTTACACCGAAATAGATTGGGTTGCTTACATGCAAGAAGTTGAGTTTTGGTTGGACGGAGAATACGATTATCGAAAAATTCATGGGGATACTGGGCCTTTAGTATACCCGGCTGGATTCTTGTATCTATTTGGATTCTTACAGTGGTTAACAGATCGCAAAATCCCGGAAGCTCAAATCATTTTCCTTGGGTTTTACGTGTTGACTCAGTCCGTCGTCTTCGGACTTTACTTGATGGTTCTACGACAAGTTCGGAAAACGCGACAATTCGAAGGTTCAAAAACGAGCGAAATTTCTGACAATGCCTCTTGTTCCCTTACCCACGAAGTCTGGTCGTTTCGCATAGCGATGGGGCTTCTTTGTMTTTCGAAGAGGTACCACAGTATATTTTTGCTTCGTCTCTTCAACGACGGCCCAACAATGCTAGTGGCATACATCTCATTTTGGTGCTTCATGGAAAACAAGTGGAACCTAGGTTGCTTTGTRTTTTCTTTGGCAGTCTCCCTCAAAATGAATGTCTTGCTTTTTGCACCAGGTTTACTATACCTTTTGATCGAAACAAGTCCAATCATGACCATACCACGACTAGCGATCTGTGGTGTCACTCAACTCATCATCGGAGCTCCCTTTTTGGCTCGATATCCAACATCATATCTACGGAAAGCATTTGAACTTGATCGTCAGTTTTTTTTCAAGTGGACGGTGAACTTRAAGTTCCTTCCCGAGGATATTTTCCTCTCAAAGCCATTGGCAATATTTTTGCTTTTTCTCCACCTTGGGTTGCTATGTATTTATCATTATAGGCTCCACAAATGCCTCCCGGTCGGAAAACACAAAAACCTTTCTCAGGAACAAATCCTTTCYACTCTTTTTATATCAAATTTTGTTGGAGTCTGTTGTGCACGAACATTGCACTATCAATTTTATTCTTGGTACTTTCCATCTTTACCATATCTTCTATGGAGAGAAACTTTGTATCCTGTTCCCATACGGATATTGTTACTTGCGTCAATAGAATACGCATTTCTGACGTTTCCTGCCACCCCGGCCTCATCTTTCGTTCTTCAACTGGCACACTGGGCCATTCTGATACCATGCGTTTTGGTAACTCGACCTCGATCACWGAAGGAGCTTCATAGCAACGAAGATCACAACTCGAAAAAATATCAGTGACCATCTCTTGGGTTCTGATATACAAGTGATCTATGAAAAGATGTCGTCATCAATGCCACGGGAGATTAGGMTCAGCTCAAACATGATCAAAACTGTTTTCTTTGTCTTTGCTAGAACTTCKTATCTATTGAAGCGACATATCGACGCGTAGACAGTCATGTACAAGAAAYTCGAAAAATAGTYTTAATCGGAATATGCAGTCTACCATAGATGTGTCGTAGAGATTTTTTTGGAATCCCGATTTCAGCCCGATTTCAGAAATGTTACTTGTATCCAGAGCTCCAATTTTTTATTCAAAGAAATAAGGATGCTGCAGAGCCGTTTTGCATGCAATCCGTCGATCTGGATCATACATCAGTAACTTTGTAAGCAGATCTACAGCATTATTGCTTCCAAGAGAGCTCATGGGTACTTGATCTGTTATAGGTCTCTCCCTCCACTGTGGAAATTCAGCATTGTAATGCGGAAGTCTCGCAACAGCTGGCCACATTTCTGAAGTTGGAGTACCTTTCCTTTGAAAAATCTTGAAAATTTGGTCGATGTCGGACCGACCAGGAAAAAGTGGCATGCCTGTAGCCATTTCTGCAAAGATACATCCAATCGACCACACATCGACCGATGTAGAATATCGATTGGCCCCAAGGAGTAATTCGGGAGCACGATACCACAATGTAACAACCTCGAAAGTRTAAGGGCCATTTGGTATKGCAGATAATCTAGCCAAACCAAAATCGGCGAGCTTGACTTGTTTTCCATCTCCAGTAATCAACAAATTGTGGGGTTTCAARTCTCGATGCAAAATTCTAAACGTGTGACAACAACCGACGCCGGCTATGATTTGGCGCAAAAAGCTCTTTACTGTTGCATGGGGAAGTCCCACTCGCTCGGAAATATCGTCGGACGTCTGATACTGATCCATGTACGTTTTCAAATCATGCGCGACGTATTCGAAAACTAAGTATAGTCCTCCTGGGTGTGCCTGGATAATATCCAGTAACTTCACCACGTTTGGGTGATCTAGTTCCCTCAACAAAGAAATCTCGCGGATGACATTGCAGGGAACACCCCCTTCGGGAGTTGAATCTGCGAAAGGGATCCTCTTAATCGCTACAGTGTCGCCCGTGTCTTCTTTTTTTCCTTTGTAAACTATTCCGTACGCACCCTGCCCGATCATATCGGTCCTATCAGATCAAAATATAGYGTTCAAAGGATGAGCCAAGCGCCGATTCTCATAGCRAAACAAAAGAAGAAAGACACGCGACGAAATCAACGGTCGCTCAAGCATCACGCAACATGGTTACTCACCGCTCGTATCCTTCCAATGCGGGCTCGTCRTCATTCATTTCTGCTCGTCGGTGATCCATTTGTGTCTTCCTTTTCTCGGCTTCACTCATGGTTTTTATGAACTTGTGCACTTYAAAGTTCCGAACTCAACTACTTTGGCTTGCGTTAGCAGTGTTCTCCTACGGGTGAGAAGGCAGGGCAATTGGCGTTCGATCTGTAAACTAACCGCTATAYTTACCGTAGGGTTCGGTAAGGTGGTGATACTGTACGATACGTTTCGGAACGTACGTAGGCTAGGGTACCGTACGAACAATTTGATACAAATCGAAAAAAATTATGTCGCGGTTTATTTTCGATTTAGAGAGATATCCGTTGGATATCCATGACGCAATTGCATTATGGTTAAGGCTCGTAGCGTATTCGCGATAAGGTACTTCATTCGTCCCAAAATATATGTCCTAAGTAGGGTCACATATTCGGGTTGGACCACTCAGCAGCCCCGCTCATTTTTGAGCATTAATTCAGTAGCAGCCCCGCTCATTTTTGAGCATTCATTCAGTACGTACTTGTACCCATATGAGAACACTAGTAGATCCTTTCACCGATAATAACAGCACATCGCGGCGCTGCGCGGGCGGGCGATATTCCTATCCCTCGTACCCATTGTACGGAATAGAGGGTAGAATTTAGAAATTCGAAAGAAACAACACAAAAAACTTGGCAATTCGGGCGCGTTCATTAGTTTTTAACTTACGCCGCGCCGTCTCAATCCTCGAGGCGACCGTGGAAGGGACGCCTGCATGCCTATTTTTTACGTTATGTCATTTCAAATTAGTGACGTCAGTATGCTGGACGTCAGTTTTCGTAGACTSTGCGGTAGGAGTTTGTAATGAAAATTAAAAAAAAATAAAAATCGTTATTTCTTGGTATGTGATTGGAATGAACCAATTAGAATGGATCTAGAACCTTCGACAATTCATGTCTCGTTTTTTAAAAACAATCGTATCATTGAACGAATCTGTTGTGTCTTTGAAGTACAAGTTCGATGGTATTTCAAGATCCACCGCACATCCCTTCATGGTCACAAAAGCATTCCATTAGTGACTAGAACAACACAAGTAAATATGAAATTTTGCGCTGCAGCAATCCTGGCCCTTAGTGCGGCCCCCGCCCACTCCTTCTCCTACCTTGATACCCTCGGCGGAGCTGCTCCTGCAGTTGCTGCCCCACCCGCCRCTGCTGAGGAACCCCCTTTCTACTTCACCGACGAAGTAACCGACCAGTCTGCGGATAGTCCTGCTTTCTATTTCACAAGTGGATCAGAGGATGTTCCTGCATCGACCTCTTCGGGATACCTGGATGCTTTGGGTGGAGTAGGAAGTTCTGCRCCTTCCGTTGCTGCTTCCAGTCCCGGTACCGCWGGGAGCAGCGCTTCTTACTTGGATATCCTTGGAAACGGCGCCACCAGTGTTACTGGTCCTGGCATTACTAGCTACCTCGATGCTCTTCCCAAGAATGCTGCCGTCGGAGGTGCCGGTATCAACACCTACGCTTCTTCTCTCAATGCTTACGCATCCGAAATTGGTGCTTCGATTGATGCTCCTGCTCCGGTAGCYGCCGCCCCCGTGGCTGCTGCACCTACGCCCGTTGCCGCAGCCCCTGTAGCTGCTGTTTCAGATGTTGGGTCCGTAGCTGGAAGCTCTGCATCGTACYTGGACGCTCTTTCCAACAGTGACTCCGCTGTCTCAGGAGCCGGAATCACAACTTACGTTGAAACATTGCCACTCACCTCTGTCCTAGCCGGTGGTGCTGGTATTAATACSTACGCAAGCAACCTTGTTTCTTCCTCGACCATTGACGGAGCTGGTGTCCCAACGTACGCCGATACTCTTGGGGGAGGAATTCCGTCTTTCACAAACTCCTTCTCGCCTTTCGGTGAATCTTCCATCGCTGTGTCGAGCAACGAAGTTGAATTCACGATGGGAAGTGTGACCGGAGAATTTGATTTCACACTAGAAGCCAGCGCCGAAATTATCAGACAGCTAAAGGCAGCAGGCCCCAACGGTGTCACAATTACTGGTAGATTTTTTTAATTTTTTCGATTTCATATTTATTTCTAGATTCAATCATAGCGAGTATTTTTCTCGTAGCAACTGTCTTCAAATAAAACCAAAAGCCATTGAGACCATCTTTTTTTCTCGATCCTTAGCTTTTCGTAGAGCCAAGTTGGCACAAGTTACCATCTGATGCTTCATGAGTGCCAGTGTCTTCTTGGAATACCGGTAGGAACAGGATCGATGTTGGTATTCTATTCTCGTCAATTTTTTCCGTACGGTAGCGAGGCTCTTAACTCTGTACCGGTACGTACTCGTAGTGTAGTAGAAGCACTCGTATTTTCCGTTCGGAAATACAGCATGGCACGACTGGCGGCGGCGGCGGAAAGAAAAATCTAAAATCCAGTTTTTTCTTGTCTGTCCTTCTTCCGCGTTCCSTTTTGGCATCATTCGTTGTGAGGTTTGAGCTTACTGTTCTAGTAAACCGTGCTCGTACAAAATGTTGCTCGATTCCGTCAATACAACAACCTTTGTCACCTTGTAGAATCCTTTCCACAGTCCACATTCAGCTTCCGATCAAGTGATAATCTGCCAATCCTTTGACATATAACAAGAACCATGGCAACAACTACGACAGATTTCAGTGCTTTACTACCGCAAAACCTCGACCAGGTGATTCAAGGATGGCTGGCCGACGATATTCCATCTTTCGATGTTGGTGGTTTAGTGGTGGGAACCGAAGAAAAACAGGCCAAGCTATTGATGAAATCGGCGGGCGTCTTTGCTGGAAAGCCGTTCTTTCAGCACGTATTCGACCTACTAGGATGCAAAGTCGAGTGGCAAGACGATGTTGCGATCGAGGGAGACTACAAAGCCATCAAAGATGAAAAACTTTGCTTAGCGATCGTAACGGGTCCCGTCCGTGACATTTTGCGGGGCGAACGAACGGCACTAAATACACTGAGTCGATGCTCGGGGGTGGCAACACTTTCACGCGAGGCACTTGAGCGAGCTAGGGGCCTCGGTTGGGACGGGTACGTTGCAGGGACAAGAAAAACTACCCCAGGATTCCGGATCGTTGAAAAGTATGGTCTATTGGTAGGTGGCGTTGCAACACATCGTCTGGATCTGAGCCAGATGGTCATGCTGAAGGACAACCATATCTGGTCGTGTGGYTCCATCGAAAAGGCAGTCAAACTCGCCAGAAAAGCATCTGGATTCTCCCAGAAAATAGAGGTTGAATGCCAATCATTGGAAGAAGCCATCGAAGCTGCCACTGCCGGTGCTGACATTGTTATGCTGGACAATTTCGAACCAGAGCAACTGAAGAAAGACGCCGAGACTTTCAAAAACCAATTTCCCCAYGTGCTTGTTGAAGCAAGTGGGGGAATTACAACAGAGACCATGCCGGATTACCTTTGCAAACATGTTGATGTGGTCAGCCAAGGAAAGCTTACGCAGGGATACCCTTGTGTCGACTTCAGTCTAAAGATTGTAAAGTAGTCTAAAAAATAASTTGCTACGTTGTTCTACAAAAGACTGATTGAATACCRTTTCGGTCACTTAAAGGCTTCGGGAGAATCGAGCATGGTGCAAATTTGATAAATATCTTCAGTCAATACTTCTTCTTCGTCCCGTTATCAGCTTTCGCAACAGAGGCGGCACGTCGCCGTGCCTGATCCATCAATGAAGGTTGCCCCTGGTCTATCTCTCCATACGAGTCGACTCGTTTTAATACGGGTTTTTTCCATACAGTACTTTCAGCGGAAGAGCTGAACATTGAATTTTTGCGTTCATTGATCTCTTCCAATAGAAGAGGCTCACTCCTGGTTCTTCGGTGCGTCTTCCTTTTACTTGTAGTTTCAATCGGTCCATTCAAAAGTTGGTCCAAAACTTGAATTCTCTTCTTTCGCTTAGATTCAGTTTTTGCAATTTGTGAAATTCTTGGTGATGTACCAAATTCGGTGCTCGATTTTTCCTTCGAATCGCTTGGTAAGGATGGTAAAGAAGTGGTCGATGATTGTGACGGAGCATTGTATTTATTCTTTTCTTGAAAATTGGCTTCAATATCGTCTTGGCTCAGTGTAACAGATATTTCATTTGTCTTCAGAGATTCCGAAAAGTCGTCGTCAGAATCATAGTCAGTCTCGTACTCATAATCACTGTCATCAAGAGCATGTAGTTTCCCTTCGTAATCCATAACCAATGGTTTCCCTTCTTTTCCAGGTTCACAGAGTGCTTCTGGGAGAGCTTGGATATCACCACGGGATCGCTGTTTTTCATAAAATGTTGWWTGGCGAGATATCTGCAATGCGACGAAGACCGCAACTGTCAACAGAGGAAAGACAGCCGAATAATCTCCAGCAACCTTGAGATTGCGCAAGGCGTAATCCTCAGGAACAAATGCATCAATTGTAAGAGTCAAGATCAGAATGATGGCCATGTGTGCCCGGACTAGAAGAAAAGAGTTCGTTTAGGAAAAATCTCAGAATGAATCCACAATCATGAAAGCAGAAAAAAAAAACCAACTTACATGTTACAACATGAGTTGCACCCATGATGCAAAGAAGAGCAACGCAGGGATATTGAGTTAACGATGTAGAGACACCAAGCCACTTCGACGCAATACTTATRGATTCTGTAAAGAATTGAGACGCAGCTGCCCCAACAAACAATGGTGCCCAAAAGTGACCACCGACTATCCCAGTGCCAAGACTCAATCCCGTTACAAATATCTTTGCAAGGACGATTGCAACCGAACACCTAATATTGAGGAATGATTCTTGGCCGTGGTCTATCATGCACTGGCCTAAAGCCACCAAATCTGCGGTAGGATCATCGCCTTGCCCAAAGATCGGAAGAGGCGTTTTTCTTTTGTCAATCATGGTTTGTAATTGAGCCTCTCCCCAAAACATGACGTGGGGCAGAAAAATTCCCGTAATGCCCACAGCAATGCCCGCGATTGTACTCGTCAATGCCGCTCTTGTTGCTTTATTAGGTATCAGACCAGCAAAAGGAGATTGTGGTTTGCTCCTTGTGGTCATCATCGGAGTGACAAACGGGGTCAACTCCCCCAAGTCGTCAACAGTGCGTGTGTCATCGTTATCGTATGAGACAGGGGGGTTGTCACAAAAATCAAGGAGATGGCATACAATTTTTTTAATTCCTTTGACGTTCAGGGTATAAAATATTCCGAGAGCTCCCCCAAAAASACCGTAGATAATTGCGTCTTTGAAAATATAGCTCGGCAAACTTTCGCTCAAGAATGGATACTGAAACATTCCGGTCACGTCGTTATCAATAACAATGCGATTGATCAATACAGCAACAATAGAAGCAATTGTAGCCGGCGAAAGCGCCTCGAAATATTGAAGCCCCATTCGATGTGGGAGTTCCATCACAAATATTCCCCCCGCTAGTGGAAATCCAAACATTCCACCAATCGCAGCAGCAGCGGCTGTAAGATTCATCACCCGTGCTTGCAATAACGATTGTCGACAGATTCGACCAAGCCACGATCCAATCATCCCTGCAGTAAGAATGAGAGGCAATTCGGGACCCAAAGAAAGGCCGGATGTCATACCAATGGTTGAAATGGCGAAAGTCGGTATGAAGGTGTCTGATTCTTGGATTCCATTCGAATGGAGTGTGTGTATCCAATCATCTTGGGTTGGAATTCGGGTATGCAATGAGTGTGATATGTAAGTAAGGATACCACTGAGAATACCAGGTGTTATCCACATATAGTGATAAAGTGGAAATCTCCCATCGACACCAGTAAATAGTCCCCACTCCAGAAGTTTTTCCGGAACTTTCTTCCAGGTGAATTCAACACAGGCATCTATGAGGAGTTTCCAGCCAGCGGTAAATATCCCCATGAAGACACCAAGAATGACAGCCCAACAAAATTGCTGAAGTGAAGTAAATTCGGGGTAAATTGGATTGTAAAACAGCCATCGAATAGTACCTGCGATAGTCCAGTTGACTGTGCTTTCAAAATAAGGAATTCCCTCGTCGTCGTATACAGCATCCTTCGACAACCAACCCGAAACGTCGAATCTTCCASTGACCTCATTCCAGAAATATGTGTTGCGTCTTGACTTTATACTACTTTCGTCGTCCTCTTTAATTGTAGGTGGTTTTGATGCGCTTGAGGTACTATATGGCGTCTTTTGGTTGGGAGCGACGTCCACTGAACCATACTGCGGGGGGTATTGAAGTATATTGCTCGCTTGCTGAGTTGGATAAAAATTCAGTGGCATGTTATTGAGCAAAGGAGYTTCAGCTGAKTGGCTGTTTCCTCCAATTGCAWACGCTTGTAACAAGGGACCAGGTGGAGCAGATTGRTGGAAATAAACCCCAGAACTCGTCGAGAGCATGCTAATTCGTCTCGATTGACCGTTTCCTCCGGTCGTCCCTACAAATTCGAGAGTGGCATCAGGATTTGCATTTGAGTCACCCAACATTGACATCCCAGTAATGGGCCCTCCGTAGGAATCTCCGCCGCTGTCTCTAGAAACATCGTCGATTAGTAAATTTGTCCCAAAGAGCGAATTTGACGACATTCGAAGAGAGTCTCGTTGACTGTCGACACTTCGTCGATCACGATCACCAATGTACCGGAGATCGTCGTTTCCCGCAGAAAACTCAAAGATTGGATGATCATCTTCGGTGTTTGARTTCGAATTGTCRGGGGTCATCATCTCGTTTAGGAAGTCGTTTGGTTCATCGTTGCTTCCCACAGAGCTGTAAGCCAAAGATCGACGAGGAAGAGGGGGGTGCTTCCCTGTGGCGTAGTTTCTTTTACCTTTTTTCCTACGCCGAGGGCCACCGCCTAGATCATCGGAGCTCAATGATTGGCGATCATTGTTGCTGTCGTGACGAGAGTCGGACACAATTGTTCCCTGATAAAAGGCGTTCTTCGTCGACCCAGTAGAGTCGCTTCTCAACCGGATTCCTTCCATTGTTTTCCTCAAATTGTGATTTCGTCGTCGYACCCGTCGTATGCGTCGTATGCGGCGAGGATTTCGACTGGAGGCTCTGTAACAGCTCGAAGCTTTATKGTTGTGGTTTAATTCCTCCATCCCGACTTGTTTTCATTGATGTTGCTCGTGCGATACGCAAACGTTTGCTGTGTGTTGAGAAAATTCGCCAAGTCGGCATACTACTATTAACAAAGTCGATAAAATGGACTCAAACAGTTCTAAGAAGGGATTTTTCGAACTTTATGTGTACCCTCCTCTAACGAAGCACTGACTCTGTGGCTTGGGAAGTTGTCTTTTAACTATTGCATGTGGGTGATCATGTGTTTTCTCTTTTTTTAGATTCTTCGATTGACGTTCGTGTCACACAGTCGAAGCTCGCTCGCCCATCAGTGTTAGTGGTAGTAGACTTTACTTCGCGCGCCCCGATGGGCGCTGAAAGGATTCGTCCCCATT